TGTTTGACATACCTGAGGCATGGATTTGTTTGACATACCTGAGGCATAACTTTGTTTGACATACCTGAGGCATGGATTTGTTTGACATACCTGAGGCACGAATTTGTTTGACATACCTGAGGCATGGATTTGTTTGACATACCTGAGACAATGGATTTGTTTGACATACCTGAGGCATAACTTTGTTTGACATACCTGGGCATAACTTTGTTCGACATACCTGAGGCATGATTTGTTTGACCTACCTGAGGCATGACTTTGTTTGACATACCTGAGGCATGGATTTGTTTGACATACCTGAGGCATGACTTTGTTTGACATACCTGAGGCATGACTGTTTGACATACCTGAGGCATGAATTTGTTTGACATACCTGAGACATAACTTTGTTTGACATACCTGAGACATGATTTTTTTGACATACCTGAGGCATAACTTTGTTTGACATACCTGAGGCATGGATTTGTTTGACATACCTGAGGCATGAATTTGTTTGACATATCGGAGGCATAGATTTGTTTGACATACCTGAGGCATGATCTTTTTGACATACCTGAGGCATGGATTTGTTTGACATACCTGAGGCATGGATTTGTTTGACATACCTGAGGCATAACTTTGTTTGACATACCTGAGGCATGGATTTGTTTGACATACCTGAGGCACGAATTTGTTTGACATACCTGAGGCATGGATTTGTTTGACATACCTGAGACAATGGATTTGTTTGACATACCTGAGGCATAACTTTGTTTGACATACCTGGGCATAACTTTGTTCGACATACCTGAGGCATGATTTGTTTGACCTACCTGAGGCATGACTTTGTTTGACATACCTGAGGCATGGATTTGTTTGACATACCTGAGGCATGACTTTGTTTGACATACCTGAGGCATGACTGTTTGACATACCTGAGGCATGAATTTGTTTGACATACCTGAGACATAACTTTGTTTGACATACCTGAGACATGATTTTTTTGACATACCTGAGGCATAACTTTGTTTGACATACCTGAGGCATGGATTTGTTTGACATACCTGAGGCATGAATTTGTTTGACATATCGGAGGCATAGATTTGTTTGACATACCTGAGGCATGATCTTTTTGACATACCTGAGGCATGGATTTGTTTGACATACCTGAGGCATGGATTTGTTTGACATACCTGAGGCATAACTTTGTTTGACATACCTGAGGCATGGATTTGTTTGACATACCTGAGGCACGAATTTGTTTGACATACCTGAGGCATGGATTTGTTTGACATACCCAAGACAATGGATTTGTTTGACATACCTGAGGCATAACTTTGTTTGACATACCTGGGCATAACTTTGTTTGACATACCTGAGGCATGATTTGTTTGACCTTCCTGAGGCATGACTTTGTTTGACATACCTGAGGCATGGATTTGTTTGACATACCTGAGGCATGACTATGTTTGACATATCTGAGGCATAACTTTGTTTAACATACCTGAGGCATAGCCATCATTCCTTGTGGCTGCTGCTGGTACATCATGCCTGCTGTCTGAGCTGGCACCGCCCCTGGCATCCCGTACATTGCAGGGTTGGCATTCTGGGGCATGTACATACCACCTAAATACAACAACATTGTTATGTAGTTTTAAATAAATTTCATTCCAGATATTCACACAATTCTGTGACATTCTTCCCCTTTGGTATTTTGGCCAACATCTCCCAATTATATGTATAGGATCCTATTGAAAATTGGAAAAAAAAGGAAAATGTTGACATTTGACCTCACAATTATCAACCTCAATTCTCAACAATTCAACAAATCAACTTTTCAAAACACTATCACAAAGGAGTAGTCGAAGGTAAATGGTATAGCTTTATTATAATTCATTATATATTTTATCGGACTCTAGAAGTAACATCATGGCATGATATAGAACCTTAGTTTCAAAGGCTACGTATTGCACACAGAAATGAAAATGTAGAAAATTCAATTTTGTTCTTAATAATTGCACAAAAACATCTGTTATGACAATTCAAATGTAAGCCTTTCCCCCAGATATATCTGAAAGAACAATTAAACGTAAATGGAGAAATCCCTTAGTTTATATACATGTTTATAACAGTATCAAACGTTCATCTAGTTGGGAATCAAAATTTGAAATTTATGTTTCATTATATTTTTGGAAGAGGTCCTTTTAACCTTAATGTATGTTCAAATTGTTGAAGTTGGTCAGTACCATTTAGAAGTATGGCACAAATTCTGATAATGATGGAGATTTTCATACCATTTTTAATAGCTACCACAGATAAAGCATAAGCAGTCTACAACAAACATGGGTGCAGTTTTCACCAGAAATTTTTCTGATCAGTAACTCCAATGTAAAAACTTTTAAAAAATACGAAACTTTCAGTGTTTTATGGAGAAACATTCTTTGGTGTTCATTTTTGTTTTGGTTTATATTTGCCAACAATAGTTGCCAGTGCTGTAGCGCTGTTGTAGACAATATCACACTGCTGTACTTCAGCAATAAAGATTAACACATCTTTTTCATTAAAACCATATAAATCACTATTTTGCTCAACTTATGTCTTACACACACCATAAAGTATGATTTAAAATGGAAATAAAAGTAATATTGAAATTTCGTTACATATAACTTTACACCAAATGTTTTGCTATTGTGAATCAGTGTTATCTCACTGTATAAATAACCCCTACACAATCATGTCTTTATTGGGCATTAACTACACATGGGTTTCAATAAATTTCAAGCTATGTGTATCCCACACACAAAGTAGGCAGTTAATTTCAGTATTTATTATAATACCTCATTTTCATTGATTCTTCTAATTTTTTTCATGAAAGTTTAAGTAGCTGGTGAAATACCTGTAGTAGGATGGTATTTTTACCGGCTACAAATGAAACCTGTTGACAATAAGTTAGCTAGAGCTAAAATTGAAACAACTTGACCCAAAAGAAGATCTGTGTACCCTTTTAAAACTATCTAAAGATACCATGGTAAGAGAAAGGCATTCCTTATTCCATGTAGATTATACATGAATGTGGGTACCGGTATATACAGACACCAGAAATGCATGCTGATCTCTCTAATCCACCAACTTACCAGGGGTGCCAACAAGCACTAAAACGGACAAGGATACAAAAAGTGCAACACATAAGCAGACTCCATGTTTAGGGAGTGAAGGAAATTAGGTAATAGACATATATCATAGTAACAGAAGGCAAGGCTGAGTCTTAAGGTATAGTTTTAAATGATATGTATTGAAGGTAAAATGATAACAAAAATTGCAACTTAAAAGTTATGTACACCAGCTGTAAAACAGCTAGACAAATACACAGCCCAATCTAGTTATACACAGGTGGAGTTATAACAACTGTAATCTTTTTATACTTTCAAAGACAGAAACAACTTAACACAAGTTTATGATGGATCACATTTCAATTTCAGTCTGATTTTTTTATGGGGACACACTTCAGACATTCAGGAAGTCTAAATCAGATGTTACGTTTTGTAGTTGGTTACAGCTGTAATTATTTAGATCACAGAATATCGGAAAAAGTTTTTTTATTAATTGATTATCAAATTTATGTCATAACGCTACCAAGCTGAAGCTGTATGTACAGAGTGAGGAGAACAGTCGATCCCATAGAAAGCAAAATTGTACAAGCACTGAGAACAGCAGAGAGGATAACTCTGTCCTGCCTGAGGAAACTGGGATTCTTGGTTAGGTAGTAATACAAGGGTACAGTCTAGCACTTGGCGGAAGTTGGGTGATGATCAATTTCCTCATTCTTGATTTAGTGTTGGTGGTTTTTCATATTCTAAAGCTAGTAGTAGTACCTGTGATTATATCAGATAAGTACCTAGCTATTTCATGGAAGTGATACTGTATACCAGGAAATTATCACTGAAGTTTAATTTTACTTTTTTTTCGCCAACCATAATGAAGGCAAGTTTATCGTTACAGTGAATATAAGTCAACAATATAATATGCATAGTTATGATATGTGAAGGCGAAATCAGCACTGGGCATCGGATATGGGTTATTCTTTGGAAGGGCGAAAGTTACACTGGGCGTGAATTTTCTGGTATAATACAGTATGATGTTATCTTCATTTGTTGTATCCAAATACACACTTTTCTATCAATTAAATATTTACACAATAGTTTAAAAAAAATCTTCCTGAAAGTTAGAAAACCAATACAAAGCATCAGCTTCATCATTGTTATGTATCTTTCAAAACACTGTGCTGTATGATGTCTTTGGTAAAGTTTTAATATTCAATGACCTATTAGCTGTCATGAAATTCCTATTCTTAACAAATTCAATAACAAAACCTATAAATATTAGTATCTTCATTGTTAACAGCTGTCTTGAAGTCATATTTGTATTTGAAATACTACAGTAATTATACAGCAACTTAATAACAAATTATTATTGAAATTAAGCTTGATCAGACATTTGCTTTATGCTATAGTTTAAATTCCATTTAGGTAAAAAAAATTGAAGCTTAAATTATTTTAAATATACATATATATATATAAATCAATATGGATCAGCACCTTTTTATTTGAATTCTGACCTGTACACATTGCCAAACTTAAGAGTTGATAATGTTGCAGCTTTCTGGATAATTTAAATGAGGAAAAATGAAAAGACATGCTCATAAAAAAAAAAGACTGATAATTGTAGGTCAAAAGGGGTACCTGCTTCATACTGGTTGGGTATGCCAACCTCGGTTTGGGGTACATAAAAGTAGGAGGTACCACCAGCTGAAATCAGATCATACAAAACGCTGCGTGAGAGACCAGGCCAATAAGTTCAACATTGAATACAATCCCCTTTTAACCCAATTGCAGAAATGATGCACCTATAAAACCACCTTATATATGCTGTCAACCCAGCAACCTTGACCTTCATACAAGGTCATAGGTGGTGACAAAATGAAGAGTGTTAATATCTATACATTAGATTTATACGAAGAAAACCAAAATTAATTTGACCAAGTTTCCTTAGTTTGCAGTTCCAGTTGGTTCTTAGAACGCTATTTAACAAAACTGAAACTGATTGATATCTCCTGACAACATTACATGGAAACTGTTGCTTATAAAATATCACTCTCTGATATCCTTTTATTTAATAACAAGCATATCTGCTGCTAGAGAACAGCACTAACAATGTCACTCACTTGTAATGCTATGTACCGGGAAGGAATAAGCTTGATGGCATAAAACGAACACGAAAATCAAGTGGAACTCTTTTCAATGATTTCTTATTTATGTGGGGTTTTTTAATCAAAGGAACCTTGTGTTTTGAGAATAAGTCCTCTAGTAGGAGGAGCTCTGGGTTCGAACCCCGACTCACCTGGTACGCCGAACTGTTGTGGTTGCTGCTGTTGCTGCTGCTGGGGCATCCCAGTCGGACCAAACAAAGCCATGATAGAATCCTTGGTGGATTTCTCTGGAACCTTCTCAGCTGAGCTGTTGGAGTCCTCAAATAAATTGGGTTCTGCATTGCCATTCTGTGATATAATATTCAAACATGTTGTTTCAGAAGAATTCTTTCATATAATATTGGAGTAACACGAATGAAGTTTTACATATATAAATTTATTATCATTATAAAAAAAAAACATGTTTGTTGGGATTGTGGGCAACGGCTAAGGCCCTAAAGTCTAGGAGGACACCGCCCAAAACAAAGAGTTGGTCAGAGAGAAAACCAAAAGTGTGCCCAAGAGCTATATTGTATCTTTTAAATTTATACCATGAATACAAACATCTCTCAAATCTTTATTCATATACATACTTAACAAAGGATATTATGGCCTTTTTTTCTTTCTTAAGTAAGCTGTTAGAAACATATTCATGAAATTCAGTGACTTACAGACCACTGCGCACTGAATTATTTCAGCAGCAATGATATTAACTTTCAATGTTTGCAGTTCGTTAAGTATTCAATTTATCATGGCGATGCTTATTTACACATTAATGTAGTAATACTGCACTTTAATCAATGCTGTATACAGAAGCTAGCTTATCATTGCACCCTCTGTATGACAAGTTGGTAAATATTTTGTAAACTTGCTGAATATTGATGGCCGTCTCCCCCCTACCTGTTGCAGAGGCTGACTAGAGGGTACTGTAGATGCTGTTTGCTGACTAGGTGCACCCATGAAATCATTGAAATCGCCAAGAAGGTCTGCGTTCTGATTATTTGGCTTTTTACCAGGGGACATGTCTGTTAAAACAAAACAATATAATTATTTATATTACATCAGATGAATAATCAGCCTGTAAGTATTGTACACGTAAAGTCATCTGAAGTGTAAATCATAACACATACTATTTATTAAGTTAGCATTATGGTATATATCAGCCCCTCAAGGTGATGAAGTGTGACCTTCGACTCTATAACCTTGACTGACGACCCCCAAAATCTAGTGAAGTGTAGAACTTGTTACTTCAATACTATGATGTATGTATTAACTAGCTGGTAAATATGTTTGGGGTTCATGAGATATTTCGTATACAAGCATTTTATTACAGACAGACACGATGAATACACACTTGCACTGACAAAGCAGTTATATGTTTATCCCCCTCTACTTAGAAGTATAATACTGTATTATATTCCCCTTTACTAAGTAAGGAGTGGAGTGTATTATAAACCTCCTCTCTCCCACCAACCCCACCCTCTACTAAGTGAAGGGTGTAATCATATACAGCTTTGTTAATGTGCAGTTCTGTAATTACATCTGAAACATCATGTACTTCTTATATGACTTACTGAAACCCACAACAGTGACAATATCCTTACAGATCTCCCATGATTTGACTTAGCCCACAGTTCTGCAATGACTTACCAAATCCTGAAATATTCTGTGAGCCCAGCAGTGACAAAATTTATCCCAAAATGATTTCTGAAGCTCTACAATGATTTCCCTTTTCCAGAAACACCCTGTAACCTCTGTAACGACAAACTATTATGCAAAAGGATTCTTGGAAGCTCTGTAATAACCCACCTAATCCAAGGAGATCTTGTGAGCTCTTGACAGGCTGTGGTTTGGTCTCAGCCTTTTTCGGGGGTGGAGAGGTCTCCTCACTGCTTTGCTTGGAGACGTTACCAGTGGCTGCCTTAGGGCCAGGTTTAGGTACCTGTTGTCATAAAAAAAATGTATAAACAACTAACAAGAACACACAAAGGGTCAAATTATCATGCATCTCCTTCTGAACATCATTTGTGCTTTCTTTTAGCAAGCGTATATTAAGTTAACAAAAATAAAATCCATTAACACAGGCTTCTTGTTTGTAATAATACTGTTCTATCCAACAAACAAATACATGTATTCACTAGTTCTACAAAAACAGAGGGTGAGCTTCTGCTTTTAAAAGGTTACAGTGACCTTTGACCGATATGGTCACTGGAGTGATGACAGGGGATGCGACGGTGAAATTCTATATTTAGTAAGCAATTTTGACCTACAATCTATGATCAATCACACCAATATCAAAACTTGTTCAAGGTATGTCTAAGGCAAAGTACCCATGAAGTTTCATCCAAATCTGTCCAGGAGTACAGACATTTGAGTGATAACAGGGTGCGACAGATATATGGATGGACAGAGAGACAGACAAAAGTATAGGCTATCTTTCATCTTACAGAATTCAGCTGGATTCCTGAGTTTTTGGCCCTGGCTTTCCTTTTGTCAGCCTTGTCGTCCATCTCCAACTGTAATCAGAAAAAGCAGTATGCCTGTTTACATTTGACCAATAGACTTACAAAGTAACAGCTATACAATACTGACCTGGGTCGTATATATCCCGAGTTTCCTCTGGCCCCGACACCAGACTTCAGACATTTTCCAACACCAGATATCTATCTGTCAAAATGTCTTAAGTCTGGTGTCAGGGCCAGAGGAAACTCGAGCCAGGTCATATACTGTAATCATACTATATTGTGTTTGTTTCGCACATGTAATTTTTGAATGCAGAAAATATTCAATATATAGAATCACAATAGGCAAATTTTGAAAATGATAAGGCAGCATCCTATAACTGTTTTTTTCACCAATGGAAAGTGGAATTCAATTTCATTTGATCTTTGAGCAATTACAAAGCAAAATTGTCTGATGTAGAGTATAGGGATGTACAGATATCAAAATTATTGGTCGTTTATATATCTAATTGACCACAAACATACACACGACAAATATATTTCCTTTAAAAATGAATTCCAAGACAACACCAGATTTTCACACCTAAAAACTTCATCTGAAAGTCTATTACTATATAATTATGAACTTATAATCAGGAAACCCCATAAAGACAAGAGGCACTGTACATGTGCTGGCAGATTTTTTCAGTACACTATGACACAGTATATACTGTATAATTGTTAAATTTTCTGGGGTTACAATTTCGCATTTTTGTGTCTGAAACTTATTCGCGAGGGGTTTAATTTTGGGAATCACAATTTCTGTAAGTCTATTTCAAAACACCTAGCTAAGGGTTCCTGTAAGTCTATTTCGGAACACCTAGCTAAGGGTTCCTGCACGTAGGTCAATTTAGGAACACCTAGCTAAGGGTTCCAGTATTTGTTGCTACTAGCAACAAACAAACAAACAATATCATGTGAAGCGTGGATGTTTTGGCAACTATCTCAAAATACTCTTTTAATTTGAATGACATTTGCAAAATTTGCGTAATTAAAACCCTCGTAAATATTAGCAACTACTATTCAGCAATGATTTACTCTTCCTAATTTGATATTAGACAATACACCACTGTAGTACACTGTATAAGGAATCACTGGCATCAGAACACAGAAGTTTGACACCTTTGTTCTTAACAAAAACCAACGAAACTGCTTACAATACCATAACCAAATATAGTACATATTACTCATACTGGAGGGGTCCAACACCTCATCAGTCAATACTGTAGATCCAACACCAAATGTTTACGTCATAATTATGCAAGATATCTATCACACGATTTATCAAACGTGACAAGTCATCATGCTACATGTATACCAGCACCGTAGTAATATACTTCCTAATGTCTATCATACTCTGACCTTGTTAACCACGAAATTCATATAAATAGGATATATATAAAACATGCTTACAAATTAAAACAGATGCCAATTTATGAAAAATATCATCAAATACAATTCGTCATTTCACCAATCTGGATGTATACTTTTTGTGACAGAAAAATATTCCGCAATTTTCTTAAAACACTTTTCCATGAATAAGCAAGTTAAGCTTTCCGAGATATGTTTCGACATTTAATTAGCAATCATCAAATAGCAAATAATTAATATAATCAATATGCAAATGATTTATGATGGTTAAATAAGCAACAAGCAAATACTAACTACAGTACCCTTTACCCTGGCAGAACTAAAGGAAGTCGTAAACAACTACGATTGTCAGACATTTACATGTACTGTATTACAATTTTAAACACTTTCTTTTTATCAACAACTTCACTTCAATTTTTTTAGCTTTGTAATGTCAATTTTCCAAAGAAATGGTGCAACAATCACATGTTTTTAACTTGTTATATATATAAGGAACAACATTTAACAGAGTTGACAGTTTTATCTTTGTTTTTAGTTTGTTATGATTACATACCAGTGAGGAACGCCACTTTACAAATTGGACAGTTGTTGTTATATACCAGTTAGAGATTACTTTCAGAAGCAAAATATTACAAATGATATTAGTAACTATGATGTAAGTATATCCGTATACTTGTATTATTATTTCTATTAATGCATGTTCACTGCAATAACCTACCAAGGATCCGGAACAATACCTTGTCTAGGTACTTGTAATTCAGTAACCTTGTACTTATGTACAAATAACATTAATTAATGATACTGACTCATAGCTCATCCGTATACTTATGTTTAACAGTTAACTTTGATTTTGAATAAGTGATTTTTACTAATTCTAAGTGAAGCAGAACATTGTGTGTTAATATATTAAAAACTATCTGTGTGAGCAATTCAAAGAGTATCAGTGATAAAGATATTGAGACTAATTGTCTCCTGAAGCACACGTCTATGGAGCAGAACAAAACAGCTGCTGAACGTAAGGCTAAATCTACCCTTTACCATGCCGCTTACCGAGTCAGTTCTCAGCTGTTGGGAAAAGCTTTTATTAGTGATGTCAGACTAAATAATACACCAGTTACCATATCAATATACTAGCTCATTCTGAAAAGCTTTCAATATAAACATTATACACAGCACACTACATTTGTATTACAATGTATTAAACTTGTTGATTATATACGGATGTATATTTGTAGCAGGAAAAACAAAAAGGTGCCCAAACAAATTAATAATTAATTTTACTTTCCTTCATTTATCTTTTGACATTTTACTATAACATCTCCTAGCTGTGAGAACCATAGCTTCTAGGCGCGATCGTTTTGGGTTTTTTATGGTCCAATATTAAAAAAAAAAATGATCGGGTGTAGAAGCTATGGTTCCCGCAGCTAAACATCTCCTTGATAGTGACTTTATTAAATTGTACTAAAGTGTACAACATCGTCATGACAACTCTGTTGTTACTCCTGCCAGTATGTTACTGAGAATGAGGCTACAGTCTAATGTAGTTACACAATATGTGGTACATTGATATAACAAAATCTATACGGAAATAATATATGTGTTCTAAGAGCTCATTCATCACAAAGAAAGTGTCTTATCTATCAAATTAGTTGTCAACTTAAAAAAGAAATGCACAATGAAAACAGAAATGGCTAAAGTAAATAACTAGTCAGGGATAAATCTAGGTTTTAGGGGAATCTACCCTTTTCAAGATTTAGGGGAAATTAAATAAAGAATATACACGCTTAAGGCTCTTGCGTCATGAAGGTAATAGATAAATGTTTTGTCTGACATACATGTGTGCAGTATATTTCAATTAATAAACAGGGAAACTACCTATAAACGGTAGTGAATCAAGTCTAGATTGATCCCAGCTAGTTACATCAATCACATCAGCAATGATCTATAGCTATTACTCAATGATGACGACATGTACACTGCACACTGTCAATGTGACAGAGCATCACATGGTATCACATACTTACCTCCTTAGGTATAGACGGCTTAGGTGGAACCCACTCTCTAGCAATGTACTTCTTCTGCTCATACTTGGCCCTTATAAAGGATTCCAGCGATCTTCTAACAACCGTTAAGGGGAAAACTTGGTTACAATTTACAGATCAGTCAAGATATATCATATAAAACAAGGAATCTTGTTTGTCTGAATTTTTGTAAAAAAATACAAAATGCCTTGTTACATTTTCAAAAGTTATCTATACAGCTCAGTCACAGACAGCTGAACGTTCCCATTTCTTACCCTGCACATCTCTCCTGTATATTATATCTGCAGGCTTTTAATGAGGAAACTATATACCTGTACTCTAAAATATATAATCAACCACTGTATATCTATAATGATATGGTAATTAATTGGTGAAGGATACGAATCTGTCTGTGGTCGTCTAAATCCATCTGGAACATTGGCTTCATATACCGCTCTGGCCCTGCTGTTCCCCATCTCCATCATCATCTACAACCACAACACATACTGATGTCATACAACAGGTACAGCTTCATATCCACAACACATACTGATGTCATACAACATGTATACAGCTTCATATCCACAACACCTACTGATGTCATACAACAGGTACAGCTTCAAATCCACAACACATACTGATGTCATACAACAGGTACAGCTTCATATCCACAACACATACTGATGTCATACAACATGTATACAGCTTCATATCCACAACACCTACTGATGTCATACATCAGGTACAGCTTCAAATCCACAACACATACTGATGTCATACAACAGTTACAGCTTCATATCCACAACACATACTGATGTCATACAACAGGGACAGCTTCATATCCACAACACATACTGATGTCATAAAACGGGTAAAGCTTCATATCCACAACACATACTGATGTCATACAACAGATACAGCTTCATATCCACAACACATACTGATGTCATAAAGCGGGTAAAGCTTCATATCCACAACACATACTGATGTCATACAACGGGTAAAGCTTCATATCCACAACACATACTGATGTCATAAAGCGGGTAAAGCTTCATATCCACAACACATACTGATGTCATACAACATGTATACAGCTTAATATCCACAACACCTACTGATGTCATACAACAGGTACGGCTTCAAATCCACAACACATACTGATGTCATACAACAGGTACAGCTTCATGTCCACAACACATACTGATGTCATACAACATGTATACAGCTTCATATCCACAACACCTACTGATGTCATACAACAGGTACGGCTTCAAATCCACAACACATACTGATGTCATACAACAGTTACAGCTTCATATCCACAACACATACTGATGTCATACAACAGGGACAGCTTCATATCCACAACACATACTGATGTCATACAACAGGGACAGCTTCATATCCACAACACATACTGATGTCATACAACAGGTACAGCTTCAAATCCACAACACATACTGATGTCATACAACAGGTACAGCTTCATATAAGTCCACAACATCAAATCAAATCTTACTTGTTATGTACAAATTAAATACAACACTTGGAAAAGATGCATGCTGTACATTTGTAATTTCAGGGATGTACATTTCCATATTTGACGTACCCCAGTACTGACCTGCATGCATAGTTTGTACAAAATGTCTACTAGCTAAATAGTATCTTTACATAAGCCTGACCTATATTTTTTTAAAACAATTTCACCAGTCCTATCACTCCTGTCGCATAATATCTACATAGCCCAGACCATCAATTGAATGAACCGTTGTAGATATGATTTTTGAAAGATACCAATGAGAGGAGTCTGCTAGTACCTGACAATCAGTGTGAATTTTAAGTTACATACACATTACTTATATATATGTGTTCAGGGTTTATTAAAAATAATGCCAGTGTGTTGAACAAAGACGGGACCTGGAGCATTTTTCAAAAGTTTCTTAATTTAGATAAGCAAGAGTAGTTGATCAGAGATAGGAGATCTTTACTGATTAATCCTGACCAACATTTTATTTAAATGCTTCTGGGATGTTCTAGTTCTACACACCTATTACATGAGTCTACTCCCGTACTTGGGCGGACCAAGTCCAGACCCAAGTAGGAAGAAGAGGAAGAAGTAATATAGCAACAAAAATATATCGCAATTCATCAAGGCCTGTTGCGAAACTCTCAGATGTCTTTATATTGGTAAAGTGAGGCAATGTCCAGAAAAAGGCATTGCATAAAGGACACAACATGTAGGTTAACTTACAGCTACTTGTTCTGTGGTCCATGAATCCAAATTCACTGACTTCACTTTTGTTATGTGAACTCCTAAATTCCTGTGTATTCCAGCACATCGAATACACAGAAATATTCCAAGATTCCATGATGCCCATCTTGGTCCTGAAAAGAAAGATACAATATATATTTATATGACAATAAACAGAAAGTAACCGAGACTAAACTAATATTCACACCTGCCACATACACTTGAAAAATATGATGTGGTCTGACTGTGATTCAAACCTTAGACCTCCTTATTGATTGGTCTAGGGTAAAAACAACCTGACCAATCGCTAAGCTGATACCTGTTCTTTGAAGATTACAAAGGAGCAACACCCCAGACTTCAAAGCCAGTCAATTTTACCATTACTTGATCCAGAGATTCTTTTGATGTACATCAAAGGATCAAACTAGTCTTCTGGTTTCATTCACAAGATGGGGCGCGCGCACCAACCCTTCAATATTTTCATGACATATTACAGGGGTGCAGAGATCAAAAGTGAGCATTACCCCTTGAGTATCGAGGATGATTCCAAAAGAAAGGCAGCATAGACAGTTACGTATATTATAAGAGGACAAAAGCTATATATGTGTTATATATATAAACACAGACTTTGATAATCTAATACCGTGATAAAACATGGACTTAGATAATCTAAGTCTGTGATATAAATAAAACAATAATGATGTATGACTCACATTGAACAGAAAATCACTATCCTCAAATAGTTTATTACATTTTTTCATGTTTATAAAGTCCTAGTATAAAATTAACACATAATTATATATATATATGACTTATTAACGGACACAACACATTACAGTAACTCGCTCTGAGCTTCTGTAAGTTTATCATTCATCAACGGAGTGGAGGAATTTTATTTCACTTTGTGTTTCTTACTGTCAGAAAAAAGAATTCGAATACAGGTGTGAAAATCGATGACAACCGATCGCGACAAGATCTATCAACATCTTAATCAAGAATTTCAAACATTTATGCTTAATCATGAACCATTTTTATCTGTCAAACAATAGAATTTGTCGCTGTTTAAAAATAGCAAATTCTGGCAAAGACATAACTTCTGACAGTGGACAGGGGTGGTTACCTGTGAAACAGTGTGTGAAACATAAACACGACATTGTTACATGATAAGACCGGTTTGAGCTCACCTTTCGCATCACAATCTACACAATATTTATTATCTTCATCTTTCAGAAGACCAGATAAAACAGCCTGGAACTTCTCTTGTAGAGCCTTAGTTCTTTCTTTTTCCGCTCTCGATGACATTTCTATCTTTTCCTTGGTCACTCCTCCGAAATGACAGCCGGATGAACGTACTTGATAAAGGGAGATAACTCATGACGCGGATTAATTGCCAGCCACGCACACAACCGTTTATTTCACTCCATTCTGCTGTTAAATAACTATTCAAAAATTTAAATATGCTTAGCATTTCATCGCTGAAATTTTATTAACACGTGTTATCAAGTTAAGAGACTTGAAATCAGATTATGAATATGAACTATATTTTTGTGGATGGATCAATTAATTTTCTTACTTCCTGTTTTATTCTATAGGTAGCACACCCTCATTTTGTGTTGTTCATTATAGCATATATTTTGATAACTAGTTAACGCTTTTAACTGTTGATTTCTTCAATACCAAATATACAGAAATTATACAAGAGTTTTTATTTATTGTCTAAGAAATGAGAAAATGTTATTTCACCGGCAGCATTTAGATTAATATTGCAGCAACGATCAAAACTACAGAGTACACATAGTATGAAAGGCCGTTCATGTCAAAAACGAGATAAACTAACGCGTTAGCATTTAACGCGTTAAATACATGTTTATAGCGGCAAAAAAATATTTTATCGCGTTAAATGCTAACGTGTTAAATACTTACGCGTTAAACTTGACAACCAATCAGATGCGTCCTTGCATATTAGCATTGTGAAACCAAAATGCAACTTATAGTTGCTGGGGGTGGATGTAAACCATGATATAAATGTTTTCGCATCGTACTGTTTCCTTTGATTTTTTTTATTTCATTTTTTTTATTATTTCAATTGAGTTTATGCGTAATGTTTAAGGAGTAGGCAGATTCTTTTTGTTCAAAATGCATAAAACTATTTAAATTTTGATTTAGAATACATACTATTATATCTTATTGCATAACAATTCCTGTGTATTTTTTTTCAAAGTAATCCATTTTGGGTACAGTTCCATTTTGGGTACCCTCACCCTACACCCTTGCGATGAAAGAAGATCACCTACTAATCCAGGGAAACATAATTTTTCGATCATATTTCTTAACATGGAAAACTATATGATCAAATGAATTGTTAGGGAATAAATGAGTAAAATTTGTCAGAAATTGTCAAAAGTTTGTTTAATGAAGAAAATTATTAAAATGCTGTCAAGTCATTTTCACAAACTGACTTTCTAATAGTATATGATGAAGTGTTCCGTTTTGGGTACTTGACCAGCAAACAAATTCTAACCACGTGACCTTACAACTTGGCTGAAATATTATGTTCTACAATTTTGCAAATGTAGAAGTGTATACAAAAAGTGAACCGTTAATGAGAAATTGGGCATTTTTTGTCTTTTGAAGTGTCAGTGACATTTAACTTTAACCTCTATGACCTCGAAACTTTGCCAAAACATTTTGGTATTACTTTTTGCGACTAGTTTATGTTTATACAGAAAGTGTAACATTTTTAGGAAAATTTGCATTTTTAGTCTTCCAGAGTGTCCACGACCTTGACCTTTGAACCTGTGACATAGAAACTTTGCGGAAATATTCCTTGCATTACTTCCTATAGCTTTGTTATGTATTTGTTTATACAAAAAGTGTACCGTTTTTATGGAAATTCGAAAATTCATATTCTTGCCATGTTTCATGTTTCATTTGTATCTAGTGACCGTGAGCTTCAACCTCATGACCTTGAACAATATATGTACCAATTACATTGTCTTCAATGTACTGCTAGTTATTTGTTAACAAAAAGTTAGCCGTTTTTCAGTTAACAAACTAGTTTTATAGAATAGTAACCAATGTCATCTACTTACGTTATATACAGATACATTTCATACATCTGAAAGAGCAAAAAATCCACCATCTTATCCGGACCCGATGAAAAGTATAATTTTGGGCACCAATTTGGAAGTTTATATTTGTTCAGGACTGAATCTTCATTGCGATGCATGTAAATTGACCTCATCTCAGCCGATCCCAGCCATCTTACTCGAACAGCATTCATTAGCCATGATTAAGTACGTAACTGCACATGTGATTGGTCCATTCATTTATGACACTTTAACGCGTTAAAAAAATAAGTACAACATTTAACGCGTTAAACTTGGGAAGCATTTTATCGCGTTAAAATATTTTTGATTGTTAAACGCGATAAAAGTATATATTTAACGTGATAGCATTTAACGCGTTAAAAGTATTTTTCACGCGTTAAATTTTTGTTTAACGCGTTAACTGCTAACGCGTTAGTTTATCTCGTCTTTGACATAAACGGCGTTTCCTAATTGACCAGAGAATCACTCAATCAGCACGCAGGAAACATTAGGTCTATAATGCGCACAGCTAACAGAGGTTGAAGCCTAAGAACTAATACGTTCTAAACCAATCAACCTCTGTTAGTCGAGTTAGCTGGTCTATGATGTCAACACAAAGGTAAATCTATAGGTATATATACAGCTGTTCAGTTAATCACGGACTTAGATAACATTAATAGCTTCCATATTCACAGCAGAACTTTAACTCATTCACCCCTAAAGACACATTTGAACTTCACGGACTTATATAACAGGGATTGGCAACTCCAAATTCATTTCGCGTATGAATTGTCCACCTCTTGTATTTGTGCACCGAACCGCGACGGCCTGTGACCCTCTCGCTGGAGCCAATTACCTGTACTGCGCTTGCGTGCTATCTCACTGACCGATATCTAATCTAATTCCGTGGTTAAATTGATGAAAGAAATCTTATCATGGCCGGGTGATAATATTAGTACTCATCCGAAAGGAGAAAATGAATTTTTGCTTGTTAAAGTGATACAGTCTTCCAGAGACATAGCGGTATACATGTCTCTGATTCTTCATAAAGCTTTTTAACACACGGACCCAGGGGTGTTGCCTAGCTAGTTGCGGGCCGGGCAACACCCTTTTTTTCTGAGTCCAAAATTAGGTATATAGGTTAAGTGTTATTTCAAAGGTAGAGCCCATTTCATGACAGATAATCCTGTATTTTCACCTGTGGTTTCATGTACCACGGAATAAAATTTTAAGTCCGTGCATGTACTCATGATCACCAGGAGTGTTTTATTATACCACGGAATTAGGTTATCTAAGTCCGTGATTATACCTATTAAAAAATGTAAATTTCAAAAATTTCAAAGACAATAAAGTATCCACCTTTAATTAGCATCAACTTATCAGGTGAATATATGCATACATACAAATTCACAATAAAAGACAAAAAGTTAAATCATAATTCATGTTTATGACAAAATAAATCAATATTTTATTGCCAAAATGCTCGCCTAAACTACATGCACATGAAAGGCATGACACAAACATCAACATTTGAACCAAAAACCGCCAACATTTTTTCCATTGTTTCAGAGAATTTGTTAACACTCGCTCCGCTTAGCCACCATAAAATATAAACACTCTATGTTATAAAATATAACCTGGAATAATACCGCAAACTCAGAAAACTATTCTATGCCTCATTGATCTGTTTGACAATGGAAATAATGTCCGATAAATTCTTGCTTTCTACGCTTGGCAGTGCTTGAACAAGTTTAGTATTAAATCTTCAGAAAAATAAAAATTGCCTCACTCTGCTCGGCAGGGAAATTATAATTGTCACAATCTCAGAAAAAATGAAGTGGTGCCAGAAAGTAGTATACATGTACAACCGACATGACAATTATATATATATATATATATATAATATTTTTTTATTTTTTTTTTATATATAAATTTCCATCACTTGCAGTGTTATAAACTCTTTGCATTTATTTATTATTATTTATTTTTTAGTCTTTTTCCGAGTTTAAGATTTTGGGAAACACCCAAAATTAAACAAAATCATGCAATTAATTCTGATAAAAAAATAAAGTGTTTTTTTTTATAATGAGCGGTAAGTGTAACAATTAATTTGATCAAAAGATAACTGATAGATTGCATAAGAATCGAATTCTGTATTGAGGAATAAATGAAAAATAAAATTTGTATAGCATACAATACTATTATTGAGTATGCGATTTTATTTTTGGACAAAGATATATTACTGAAATTGTGACACAATATCTGGGTCTCAGTAGCACAAGTGTTTTTTATTTTATTAATCTAGATTATATTTATTCTTTATTATATACGAATTAATAAATATCCATGAAATATCAATAGAACTTTAAACAAGATGCCCAACGGATCTGCATCGTTCACCTGTAATTTCAATATAACTGTTCAGTGAAATACCCGAGAGGTCACGTTTGAGTTTTCAGCACATTTGCCAATTTCTTAGGGCTCTTGAAAATCGGCCAAGGTCATTAATGAGGGCACGCACGCTTCTGAGCCCTTCACCTAATCAGGCCAATGAAGACAGACCTATAGTCGTTTTTTAGGTTATTAAGAAGTGTTTAAGTATTTTTTAATCCATACGATTTCTAGGTCACTGAACAGTGCATTAGAATAATTTATTTGAAAAAAGTTTATAGTCCTTCACCCCAGCATCCTCGATACTCCTAGCTCCAGGGATTACGCTCACTTTCGCTCTCTGTATCCATGGAATATGTCATAATACAATTGAAGACACACAGCTAGCTATTTGATTAGTCTCAGGTGAAAACACCTGACCAATCGCTAGGCTGATACCGGTCATTTGAAGTTACAGAGGAGCGACGCCAAACTTCAATTTTACCGTTGCGCGACCGCGAGATTCTTTTGATGTATATCAAAGGATCAAACTAGTATCCTTGTTTCATCCACTAGGTGGTGCACACGAAGCCTTCAATTTTGCTATGGCAGTTTTGGAAATATGTTAATTCAAAACGAAAGTAAAAACAGGAATTTCGGGCTTAAAAGGTCTAAATGTAAATTCATTCAAAATCCATCCCGTATTTAGCGGAATCCCTCAAGGAAGTGTCCTAGATCCAGTACTATTTGCTATCTACACAAATGATCAACCAGAATGTACCTTGTCGAACACCTTCTTGTTTGCCGGTGACACAAAAATATATAGAGAAATTAGGAGCGATGAGGATAGAAAAGTGATACAACAATACGCTGCAAGTGTATGGACCCTACACCAAGTTAATGATATTGAAACAATGGAGAAGAAGTTACAGCGAAGGGAAACGAAACTAATACCTGGGCTGAAGGATCTTTCCTACAGAAACCGCCTTAATACTGCTGGCATCTTTGATCAAGATTCAACATCTAGAACAAGAGGACATACACACAAAACAAGAAACAAAACCCATTGTAAATTAGACATTAGGAAACATTGATTTGGTTACAGAACGGTTGATATATGGAAAGTCTTCCCGAGGTTTTCATACAGGCTACAACAATTAAAGACTTTGAAATCAGTGTTGACAATCATTGGAAACATCTTGAACTTAAATGTAATCACCTAGCTAGCTACAAATCTTTTTTAAATTAAAACTGTTATATAGAGGCAAGCAATTGCCTGCGTTCATCAGCTATCCTATTATATCCTATTTAATATAACAATGGTGCAAAGGGCGAAAGTGACGTCACCCCAGCAAACCACGTGCTTGTCATTACTCTTCCTATTGTCTCGTGATTCAGTACATGAGAAGAATTTGCGTGGTTGGCATTTTTGTGGTTTCAAAATTGAGAGTCAGGGACAATGTGTTTTATGCACTTCATTGCTCTTCACCACAAGATACAGAAAAGTGTTGATCATCAGCCTGGGTCTCAAGTGGTTTTAGAAGAAGTCGTTTACAGTTTTTAACATGAATCACCATGTGGCTTTGCATGTAAGTCAAGGTCATCGATAGCTTGCAATTGTAGCAAGCTATAAGTAACAGGCCACATGTCATTTCTCTAGGTACTAAGACTCATTTATAAAGTCATTAAAAATTGAACACATTTCATTCTATTACATTATCCGTATACAGCTAATGACAAAACAGTAGTATAGACACTGCGGTTCTTTAAAATGTCTTTTAAAAATTTCAATCCATGCTACTCTGACTGAGGTAAATTTCAACTTTTAACAACTTCATGGTTCTAAAATCATTACTATAGTTATATTTGTTAATTGTAACATTAGTTAAAAGAGTTTGACACATTTTATTGTTATGACCGTATGAGTGAGACAAGGATATTAGAGCACAGTTGATAGTCCTTTACCGTAGTAACATATATACAAAACAGTACTGTATGGTTCCTAAGAAGCAGTTGAAAAAAATGTGACGTATGAACGGGAGGCAACAGACGGATCAATGGCCTATTGGCCTATAGTGGCCTTTGGCACGAACAATTTGGGACAATTAAGTTGATGGCATTCAGTTATTTAATTTTGTACCTCAACAAATTGAGGTAATATACTAATTGATACAGTAACCTGGGGTCTGATAGTGATGATATAGATAGTGTCATGAGGTGTCCTTCCGTCCGTCACCACCATTTCTTTAAATGCGCTCATCTGCCTAGCGTCATTTTTTGACATAGAACATGCTATAGTGGATGGCTTTCAGCTTTGTTCAAATTATTAACCTTGACCCACGTTAAACGTCAAAGGGATCTAATGTGTTAACAAGAGGCCCATACGGGCTACGTCGCTTAACTGTTTCCGATAAAAAATAATTTGTAAAGATGTTGAAATATGTGAGCATTGTTGCAAATTTGAATTTCTTTTTGAGAACAAGTTTTAGAAATAACTTCATCTGTATACTTATCCGGGACATGAAAAGGAATACTAAGATTTGATGGACATCAAGAATTAGTTAAAGATGTTTCAATAATCTAAAGGCCATGGTGGCCGTATTTGATTTGATTTGACCCCCAACCCCAAACCCTTCTTATGCAGTCTTGTTTTGCCTGATTGTTTGACATCCTTTCTACCTGCAAGGCTAATTATGCTATGATTTATTGTAAACATACAGCTTGACCTACTTCGCCAACCGTTTGTTTCCAATGATCATGAAATCATCATTCTATTCGTTTTACTCTCGGTTATCGTAGCTTGTCCATATGAATGCTGACTCTTTACGTGGTTGATGGTGTTGGTGGTCAAACATCCTCAGTACCCCAGAGGTTACGCCCGCTTGTGCTCTCTGCACCCCTGTAATATGTCATAGTAAAATTAGGAAGACTTGTTTGATGATCCTTTCATGTATATCGAAAGAATTTTGCGGTCGACGGTAAAGTTTACAGTCTTTGACGTCGGGCGTCGCTTCTCTGTAATCTTCAAAGAACAAGTACCAACCTGTTTTTTTTTTACCTGAGACGAATCACATAGCTGAACGCGTGACATTAATTTTGCTATGACATATTCCAGGGGTGCAGAGAGCGAGGATGCTGGTCAATGTCTGTTCTGTGATCTTAGAAGATGGACATTTCGTTGATTGTTTTTTGCACGTGGGACCTTATTGGTTGTTCTTCGGCCTTCTGCTAATATACTTGTTACGTATTGAACATTATTTGTTGACATGATCAAAGGTAGGTGTTTCACTAAGGATGCATGCTTTTTCGTTGGGAATATATCGATGGTGAAGGGAATGAGAATGGCGGAACATATTGCTATCATCTGGTATATTTTTATTGCTGGTTTAGTACATCTGTGAGGTTTATGCATGGTCGGACTAGAAAGGACAAACTCTGGAGCTGTTGCTCCACATTTTGAAATAAAAACAGAACTTCTCCATTCTATATTACATCCTTGTTGCTGCACTCAATCTATGCTATTTTCATCCGATTTTAATAGCAGTTTAAGTAACCATAAAGTTTCCTTTAATATGTCTTTGAGTTTTTCTTTGTTAATTTTAGTTTTGATATTTTCAAAATTGTTGTAATGTTGAAGAATATTAACCAGTTCCTTGATGTTAGACGCTACATTCGTATGTACGAAATATTATTTCTACTCTTTAATTCTATCTTTCTTGATAGTAACACCCCTGATACCCCTACCTACGATGTTTACTCGGTACTCAAGAGCTTGCTCCGAATATCATGACTTCCGTAATAGATGCCGACTCCTGACGGACAAACTTACAACACAGGGTTTCCAAAGACACAGATTGATGAAGACTATGAACAAGGATTTTGGTCGCCATCAGGATCTCGCAGGAAATATGATATTTCTTTGTGTTGTCTTGCTGTTTTTTGATGGTATGAGTTTCCAAGAAGAGCGAACGTCTTTACAAGGTTATGGTTGAAAACTATTTGGAGCATATCTATGGCGGAAATGGACAAAAGCTAAGATACAAATATAATAGGGGAGATGAGATCATAAGCTGTTTACAATATATTTTGGTTGAACTCCGATGTCTGAACTGACTGCTAACATACTCACGGGGGAAAATGTGCATCACTCTTTATCGTCTTGTTTTGTTTTCGAGTTTATCGAAGAACTAATCTGGACAGGTAACAAAGACTTCAATTTCACTTTCAGATCTATCGATAACGGATTGTCTTTCAATGACAACACATTCATTGACCGTGTGGGCCGTGTACACCCCCCTGAGCTAAAACCAAAGACCACCTGAACACAAACCACAACCGAAGATACAGCTAGGAATAAGCGATTTTATTTCAAATCCGTCATTTTTAACTACATACTATTCACTCGAATAAAGACCATACGATAGATAATACGAAACTTCTATATTTGTAATATTACATGGTATATGAAATTATGGTCAATAAAAAGTAGATCTACGTATATAACGCTTTTCATGTGTTGGAAAGCGTTAGGGCGCTATATAAATGTTGTATATAGTTATTAGTTTTATGCAACGATTTTGAACAACTGCAAATACACGTAGTAAAAGTAAGCCTGGAGACTATCATTCCTCAACATCAGTGACGAACATTACATTATTTATGCTCCTCACGTCATACAGGAAATTTGTTTGTCTCCAATTGCAAACATGATACCTTGCATTCATTGACGTGACATCAAGTGAATATTATATTGATTAATTGGAAATAAGATCAACGCTCCCTATTATCTTATAAAAATATAGACATATCAACATATTTGTCATCCTTAGTCACTTTCATACACAATACGGTTCATTATATATGGAGATATATTCCACTTCATCATACACTTAAGCTTGTGTGTCGTCACTTCCGGTTTCCAGAGCCTTTAACAGAACACTGATGTACGCTCGGGTTAATGAATCATCCCTGTAACAGATGTATAGGGTAATACAACATAATGCACAACGAAAACATGTTCACAAGCTTCAAATTATATCCATTCACTTGTAGGACATCACATTTGCAATACCGACTCAATTATTGTTCTCCTAAATTTCACTCATTTAGTTCATGTAAATTAGTTGTATTTTATCCATTCTTTTATTTATTGTACATTGCTTATATTATAATAATTGATTTATTGTACATCGCTTATATTGTAACAATTCACTTATCTACATCGCTTTTATAATAACATTTCACTTATAGTACATCGCTTAAATTATGATAATTCGCTTATTGAACATCGCTTAAATTATGATAATTGATTTATTGTACATCGCTTATATTGTAACAATTCACTTATGTACAACGCTTATATGTTTGTATTACCATTCCATTCGTGATTCAAACATTATAACGAAAATAAGTACACGTGAATTCTAACATTAAATAATTAACAGTGTATACATTATAAGGGATTCAACTTCATCTCACTGCAGACTGATTTTAATAATGCTTTTGTATGTACTTTTTGTATATTTTAAATGAAGGTGAAGCGGTAATAATCAGTGAAAATGAAATAAAAACAAAAAACAAAAAAACAAAAAAACAAAAAACAAAAGCATATGGTCGTCTACCATATACTGTTTAAAGCGGTCACTTCTTTTTCAAACAGCCCCTAGCTATATGAAAGTACTTATTTATTTATTTAAGAGTAGTAAATCTTACTGACCAATAGTCGTAGTAATCCGGATATTCTTTGTTTTCTGCATTGTAAGACTCTTCAAATATTGTGTTGAGATTTTCATGAAATATAATTTTTTCTTCCCAGTTATAGATGATAATTTCCACTGGAAATCTGAAATGACACGGAAAACAAAACGGAGCAATAAACGAATTAAATCTGATTCATACTCATAATATGTAGAAATGACCAAGAATTAAGTTATAGATTGTATTTTATTGCTTCTCGCGAAGAACATCTGGTATATCCCCAAGAAACGTTGATACTCTAGTATGAGATATACTTGTTGTCCACACATCCCTACACACGTTTTACCGATCTATTATGTTTATGTTAAGTGCATGTATATAGGAAGACAATAGCATGTATCGTGCAATATAGTATTTTTCAATTCTGGGATTTTGTGAGCGAAATACCCAATGTACATTCACCTCGAGACCTATCAACTTTGAACTATGAATAATCACAATGAGCGCACGATATCGTCATTAACAAAAATAAGCGATAACATAACTTGAGGACGGCATTTTGTTAACCAAAATGTTAATATTCAATTTGAACGTACCCAAAAATGTATATAATATAAATGAAAGATGATTTTAGGAGACATGATCGTGTATATATATTGGGGCGTCGTATACTATTTTACAGAATTTCTTGATATCAAGAAGAAAAAATCGTATTTCTTGATAACAAGAAATAGATCTGTGTTAAAATAAACGATAGTAAATAGTAAAACAGAGTTCTAAACGTGAACACATACGAGTAGGCTCTAAGAGCCAGTGTTGCCCTGGTAACGACCTCCATATCCTCCGACTCCTGCTGACGGTGGAGATCCTCCAGGAGGGTCCAGCTGCTAACGAACCGGTCCTTTAGGAGGCTGATGACGGACGGACTAGCGAGAGGACCCTCCCGTAAAGTCCGTCCCGAACCTACGATGTTAACGTGATATTTTTATTAATTGGAATAAAGAAAATACTGGTGTTTCACATTATTTACGATAATGTGATACGGAATAAAGTGATAAATGAAGTAAACCGGATGATTTGTTTTATCATACTTTTGTTGTTCTACTTGACGGGTGCAGTTCACATTTACACAATTCAAATTATTTTGTTGAATTTTGTACTTATTACTACAGATTCACAATATGCTATATAATTTGGTTATACACGCCACTTAGTTCAATATGAGAGCGATATACAGTATACTGTACCTCAGCAGGATTGATCATCTAGAGCACCCCAGAGGACGATGCTGTGCACGTACTTTTTCTCTACAGCAGCTCTTGAAAGTGCCTCACTTATGTTGTAATACTCGACCTGAATCATATTATATGTGGTACACTTTTTGAGAAATAAATAATATCAAAAATAGATGTTCCTTCTATCGAAAATCTCTTGACTGTACATTGCTACATACTTCTTACATACATATATATATATGTGTAATAGCAAATGTGTTCATAGGAATTTATTGATGAAGTAAAAAAAAAAGTTTAAAAAAAAGATAGTTAATGTGAAATACAATTGCAAATGACCACTCTCGTGATATTGATTTCTATTCAAAATTTATATCAATATTTTGAAACAAAAAGAAAATTGGATGTTGTGTATTTTAGAGAATACTGAAGGGTGAACAAAGTCATGGCATGGAATCAAAATTTGTGAAAAGGGAAGAACACAAATAAAGATTTACATGAAGACCTGAGAAAGGATATTGCAAAAAAGAACGGTTGTTCTGGAAGAGAAAACATCTTCTACTTCAACGATGACGCCAGCTTTATAAGTCAAGTTCATGAGGTAAAGAAATTCCTCGTTAATATGGTAATATTCAAGTCCGAAGTTCTCAGAGGATATTCTTGGTTTCTTGATCAATAAATGTTATATTTCACGACTGAATGATATTTGTTCACGAGTGCGAAGCACGAGTAAAATATGGAAAATATTTCACTTGCTTATCTTTGCATTATTTTTCTTATTTGTCACAGTAGAAAAAATCCTTCTTCTTTCCATCATAACTTTTTATTCTTCACTGGTAAAAAGGAAATAATTAACGAACCTGTTTAAATGGGAAGAAGGCTTTCTGAAGCTGTAATTCTGCAGTGTGGTGCGATATTTCTTGTTCCCATTGAATATTTGGTATCGTCATACTTGATTCTTTACCACAGGATGCTCGAGGGAAAGTAGAGGATGGTTCAAGGGAGGATAACTCCATCTGCTTCATGTAACCGATCTCAACTGTCAAAGTTTCATCATTTCCATCAATGCCAGTGTCAGACGTCCATTCCATGTCTAAAGGAAAAAAGATGTTTCAACTGAATATATGAGACGCGTAAGCAAACTTGGACTCCTGTAAACTAATTAAGTAATACAATAGAGTAAAACAAGAGAGTTAACAACACAATATGCGTGAAACAGGAGTACCAAAACTGTCTACACAGCAAGCCCGAGTTTCCTCTGGCCTTGACACCAGACTTAGACATTTTTACAAGTAGTCTGGTGTGGACATCTATTTGTCAAAATGCCTATGTTTGGTGTCAGGTTCTAAAGAAACTCGGGCTATCTACACAACTAAAATGTGTCTGCTAAATTTTACTTTCAGACCAAATGTCAGCTTTCTCATGCTACATCAAGAAAATTTCTGACTGATATCATTGATCATCATGATAAGGATATAAAAAAATGCACAATTTATATCTTAGTGATGCAATCCATTGTATTCAATGTACAGCTTTACACCTTACCAACGTTTAAGGATTTATCGGAGGGGACGGTCACGTGGAAGAAGTCAACATGAGACCCGTCTGCCTCTATAACAAGTCTTCCAGCAAACTGAGACGGCGTGAACCAGAATGGTTGTTTAGAATTGTCATTCAGTTGAAATTCGGCGTGGAATCTGCATAAAAAAACATGTAGATTTAAAGACGGGTACAATCAATATTCACATGACGGTCGAACACAGCAAAATATTCCGACCATGACGTTTTAAGAAGGGTGATTTCTTTGCACAGGAAGACAGAGCATTTGGAAGAAGCAAATACAAGATATTCACTGGAAATTCGATGAAACATCATATTAATTTGAGTGCAATCAAGAATTTCTATTGCTTTCTTAAGATAACTTACCGAAACGTGATGTCCAATTTAGTAGATGAACGCGCTCTGAGAATAGCAAATCCTCCTCGAGGCTGGAATCTCGTCTGAAGAAATGGTTTTGAATGGAAGGAGGAGAGGAGACGTATGAGGACGGCTTGAATACCCTCTGTATGAGGAGGATCAGCTCTTAGGGGAGGGGAGGATTCAGGGGTATAAAGACTCCAAACATAGCCAACCTCTATGTCCCTGCTGGCAGGTAGAAAGGTTGTTAGATCTCCCACGTGGACTTGAAATTGATTGGTCTCTGGTTTCGTCCACGATAGCAGGGCCTCTAATGAGGTATCGTTCTGAAATTTAGTAATATTAAAAAGGATACATGCTTTAAGCCAAAAAAATGTGGTAAAACGACTGAAACCTTCAAAGGGTAAGATGTACACTCAACTTGGAAAAGTTTTCTTCAGAAAAAAGGGAGATATCCATTGGAACGCTCTGCCGTAAACGTAGTTAATTCATTTAAAGGCAGACTAGACCTATAATTTTCAATGATATTGACAAACGAACCTTTAGCGCTCTGATTCTGTTACATGCAAGGAAAGAAAGCACAATGACTTTATAAATAGTTGTATTATAACATTAAAATGAAAGGAAACAACACGTTTAATATAAAGTTGAATGAATTTAAGATGTTCATATTCTATAATTGTGAATCATGACAAGAGTTATATCCCTTTAAACAGGGACGATTGTGCATAGGCAAATGTTTCACAAGATCGGATATAAGATTCATTCTTTAATATTATCAAAATATTCAACACTTAATGTGACCCTCTATATGGAAATATTCACGCACAGCCCAAAAAAACATGAACGTGAAACGTATAATTGCAGAACTAAAACTTTGATTCCATTTTACCAGTAAGAATTCTAGTTGGTCTAGCTCTGCAGATCTCAAGGTGTGGACATCCAAGGGAACAAAGCCACAGCATATTCGGAGGTATTCCGTACTGGCAATCGCTCTTGTTCTTTCAGTTGTTGGCTACCAATTACAATAAATAAAACACTCATCCTGAAGGAACTGTTAGTTAATGCAGTTCATATTCGTCTCGAAGTGCTATCGACATACTACCAGAAGAAAGTTTAGAAAAAGGATATGAATGTTTACGTATTATTTTCATCCGCAATAACCTAAATAGACTATACCTTTATGTTTATTCTGCATGCAAAACTTACTACTGCAAAGCTATAATTTAAGCATTGAACTTATCTAAGATAACAAAAGACCGTAATTTAGCTTTTACAATGGACTATACAGTATATAAAGCTTATAGGTAACGTCGATTGATATGACATTCATAATACTATTGCTGATTGATTCACTTAAAATTTAAAAAAAACGCACATATAAATATTTCATACTCATCGTTAAACGATAGGTTACTACATACCTTTTGTAAGTGTGGAACTAGTGACCAGAACTCTGCTCTGTTGATCTCGCCATCCTTGTCGACATCAAAATGGTCGAATAGCTCTACCTCGTTTACTGTTTCACCCAGGAACTCCGAGGAAGGATAATATATAAACGATAATACTGCTACCAAGAGAGAAACACCAACGAAAACTCTGTGACTATTGATCAAAACAATAGCTTTACAAAGTAACGTTTTCGGACTTACATGTGTCATGTTGGTATACGTGACATTGGCACGGTGGTGACAATGTGTAGCGGCCTTATCAATGTTTCCTCGAGAAATTTCTCACCTATTACAGACTTATTTGTTACACATTGTTTTTCAACCCCCTCCCCCTGAAGAGAGACCCATTGTGCTGTTTGGTGAACTTTTTATTACTTTCAAATGGTATTGTTGTCATTTTATTGTAGGGAAACAAAACAAAAAAAAGAAAACGGACGATATTTTAATGATACAAAATTCTTTAGTTCGACTTACATTTTACGTGTTGTTCAATTAGTTAATTGCATGTAATAAATTGATAAAACTGAGTAGCTAAATACATTTATCAAGTATTAAGTTGTCTATTGTAGACGGATATTGCTTATCTGTGTAACTGACTTGAGGTGACCTGGTATACGCATGTACAGGTGTCGACAGCTGTTTATCATACTACTTAAAGTAAGGTGTATTCTGGAAGCTCGACAATCAGATCCGATCTGCGCCTCAAAATGTACAAATTGTTTTTGGTACAGCTTCTGGTAGTGTTCGCACTCTGGAATGTTTCCGAGTCTCGTGTATATACACAGGATGAACTTGATTTATTAGCAAGAGTGCACTATGACCAGGTTCCCCGACATCTGCAACTGATGCTGAAGAGAGGGAAGAAAATGGGTGACAGCAGGTTCTGTATAAAAACACACATATTCTTAAAATTAGTGTATAGTGGAAAAGTGTATTCTGATCAATATAATCACACCTCTTTATCAATATAAAGATCGTTCTAAAATATTCTTCGATATTACCCCATTTAGTAGAGGTTGTTATATGATAATTGCTTTGTCAGCAATTTGTAAAAATATTATGTACAAGATATGCCATGATACCACAACAGATTTAATGCATTTTACATCATGGTATGATACCATAGAATTCTGATGTAATTTTGGTGGACATTGGTCAAATATTAGAATCAAAAATGATACTTGATCAATTTTTGAAGTAAAAAGCTTGTATGTTAGATATAACCTGTAAATCCTCAACATTTTTAGTTGATAATTGTACCATAGTATCATAGTTCTACACATGATCAGAATTTGGTGAATATTTTGCATATATTTATGGAACAAGTTATAAATTGGCAGGTTTTTAATTTTATAGATAGCTTATCAATATTGGAAACAAAGAGAGGTAGTGTTACTTGTAACATTTTCTAATTATTAAACTCCTCTATGCCATTACCTGTTACAGTAACTGGTGTTGTAAGAACGGTGCTGACCAGGTGGTACAAAACACCCAGATGACAAAGATCGTAGCAAAAACAATTCGGGAGTCAGTCCAGGTACACACACAGGACTCGTGCGGATTCATGAACAGCCATAAGTGTGAAACTACGAATATACAATATGTGTAAGTCATTTTACAGTAATATCTACCAGGGTCTTCTAAGACATTAAAATAACCTCCGTTATTATCTGTTAATGTACTGAAATCTGTTAAAATATTTTAACCAAGAAATCGTCTCCATTTGGTCAATTAAACAATTCGTTATTTTGCTTCCGCAATTGATTTGTCTACTGGACTAAAAGAGAAAAAGATGAACACATGAAACTCGAGGAGAAAGAGTCACAACATTACATATCATTTAATGAATAGTTATATATTATGATATCAGAGAGTAAATCACATATTGACTTTGTTCCTAGCATTACATCACTAGCTATATTGTTTCAATACAGTGAGAAACTGATAACCTACATCGACACCCAGCTCGTCCCTAACAAGAGCGTCTGTCCAGACGAACAGATCACGTGCTGTAACGGATTCATACTTGCCGTTGATAATTGTTTGGGTACGTATAACATCGGTATATGCAAAATATTACCAAGATAAATTACTAACACAAATCTCAAAGATATATTACACCTGACAACTTCATTAGAATAATCGAGTTATCAGGTAAGGTAGATTTTTTTTATTATACTCATTAGTATGCCTTGTTGCTATGTTGTCTTTTACCCGACCTGGTATTACTTTGACCCAGATGTTGCTGAGTTATCAGGTTATAAAGTTATGAAATAAATTACCGAGTTATCAGGTTAAGAGTTTATAACAAAAATAACAGTATCGGTCAGATCTTATTTTACGAGATGTATATACTGTAACAGTGGAAATGTTCGCATGTGGAAATATTCGCGTTGTAGACCTTTAAACAGATCGCAGTGTGGAAATGTTCGCGTTGTAAACCTCTAAATAATTTGCAGTGTGGAAATGTTCACGTTGTAAACCTTTTAAACAGATCGCAGTGTGGAAATGTTCGCGTTGTAAACCTTTAAACAGATCTCAGTGTGGAAATGTTAGCGTTGTAAACCTTTAAACAGACCACAGTGTGGAAATGTTCGCGTTGTAAACCTTTTAAACAGATCGCAGTGTGAAAATGTTCGCGTTGTAAACCTTTAAACTGATTGCAGTGTGGAAATGTTCGCATTGGCAATAGTTCTGAAATAGATATATTCTGCAACTCTATAAATAAATATTTCGTGTGGATATTTTCGGAGTCTGACCCTGTAGAAATTATGTCCTGTTTTCTTTTCGCTGGTTGCCATCGTCTTTGTACCTAGTGGACGCACGAACACATATGTATACATTGATTTGTTTGGTTTTGATTCATAAGATTTTTATTATTGTACATTTCTCCACAGCGGCGGAGGGACAATACCTCAGCACCTTGACCGATGCCCTGCTCAAGTTACAAGGTGCCGGACTTCTAGGGTGAACACATTTATCAGTTGAAATAAATCGAGACTTCAGCATACTGAGTTTATGTTTTAATTGTTAATAGATAATCAACTTAACTCTTACCATTACAATTATACTGTGGCCGGCTGAAGCCAACTGAATTGTCGTTTCGTCAAAATTATCAAATTCACTCTGATATTATATGCTGTTTCTGAGCAATAATTGGATGTAAATTGAAATGTAAATTTTATTCAGAAATAAATAAAGTTTACAAAAAGTATATGCACAAAGACACCATCTTTCAGTGGAGCAGGAATAACGCATATTGTTAGCTCAACATCTTTCACGAGTATTTGTTTGTTTATTTTTTGGTCTATATGGCCCAACAACTCTTACTTGTTTAGAATCTTGACTCTTTTGCAATTAACCAGCAGGATTCAATGAGACTTTCCAAAACGGTTTTGCAGCTTTTTAACACATATAATACAACAAATCCTTGTCTGAGTTATCTGCATGCAAATGTCATCAACGATACTCAAGGCTAACGATGTCCATATTGGGCACGCTCTTGAATCATTGTGTTTTTACGTTCAAAGCGCCAGGTAACATCGTAAGAACTCTGGTGTACCGGGTTTTAGCTCACCTGGCCCGAAGGGCCGTGTGAGCTTAATCCGTCTTTGCGTTTTGCAGAGTTATCTTCTCTTATGAGCAGGTATTGTTTGTTACGTCATTGATTTGTGTGAGAAAATTACGTCGTTTTCTCAAAAAAATGATGACGTTACTCTCACAAACAATTGACGTAACGATCAATACCTGCTCATACGAGAAGATAACCCTGCAACACGCAAAGACGGAATGCCGTACTCCGTCGTCCGTCCGTCCGTCCGTCCGTCCGTCCGTCAACCTTTTCTTTTGAACAACATCTTCCGAAGAACTGAGAACCTAGGGTCATGATATTTGGCCAGTAGGTACCTGGGATGAAGTGCTATAAAGTTTCCTCATTAAAATGATCTTGACCTACTTTCAAGCTCACAGGGGTCAAATGTGTTAAACACTTCAAACAACAATATCCTAAGAACCATTCTGATTAGAGTCATAATACTTGGGTATGTTATGTAGACCAGCTGTGTTAATCTTTTTCTACATTACAGTAATGAGGTCAAAGGTAAACTTTAAGTGTTAGTCGGGGGTCAAATGTCAGCTTAGGTTAAAAGCTTTAACAATCTTCTTCTAAAGTTCCATAAGGCCCAGGGTTATGATATTTGGCCAGTAGGTACCTGGGATAGAGTGCTATAACGTTTCCTCAGTAAATTGACCTTGACCTAGTTCCAAGGTCACAGGGGTCAATTATGTGAAAAACTTCAAACAACAATATCTTAAGAACCATTTAGTCTAGAGTCATGATGCGATGATACTTTGGTATGTTATGATATACAACAATTGATATAGCGCCCTATCTAGCTAACATAAGCCACTCTAAAGTACTTTACTGTACAAAGATATACAATTTAATACAATGAATACAATTAGCATATACATTAATCAATACAATTTTGAGGAATTCGCAGGAGCTGCCTTATCAGGCGATAACTACTAGTCCTATACCACCTGGATGAAGTGCTATAAAGTGTGAGTGCCTGTGTGTGTGCTGGAGATGTATTGTGTTCTGTTTGTAGTGGGACCGTACTTCCAACGGTATAATTTATAGTGCCACCCCACTTGAAAGCCACAGCACAGATACCGCAACATCAACGCAAGACCATTTTATACTCCACCTGGGTTTAGAGTTGTGTGGGCAGGAGAAAAACACATTCTCTATATATTCCATGTGTACGACGACTTATGGGATCGAACCCCAGCCGCCTGGTTGGAAGTCCGGAGTGTTAACCACTCGACCAATCTGCCCATGTTAAAATGTAATGTAGACCAACTGTGTTAATCTTTTTTTAAATTACAGTAGTGAGGTCAAAGGTTAACTTTAAGTGCTAGTAGGAGTCAAAGGTCAACATGGGTTAAATCTTTAAAATTATGATTTCAAATTTCAAACAACAATATCAGAATACCAAATTTGGTCTTAAATTACCTATGTGTCAGTTTCATGTAACAAAAGAAACAGGTGAGCGATACAGGTCCTCTGGGCCCCTGGTTTTTACACCTATGGTAAAACATCTAAGGTATTTATATGCAATAGGGCATCAATAATTTCCCAGGCTAAAGATTCTAACTAGGCACTGTTTCAAATTGAAGTCAACAATTATCATATTTTGTTTCCAACGTGCCAGGGCACATTGTTAGAACTGATATGCCCCTTTTTAACAACTATGCTACTAAATTTAAGACTTAAATGTGAAAATGTGCCTAGTTGGCATGTTTAGCTCGGAGCATCGTTGATGCCCTTTTGCTTGTGAATATAAAGAAGGTGGTTTAAATAAGAAAATTGTAAATAAACTCTTCATTTTCAGTAATAATTAGGTTCAATTATTAAACAAACTTGATATCTTGCTACGTTATTACCAACGATAGAACCATAATATTAAATTATAGAAATCAGCCATTCATGTCTATCTCAGCGGTTATTAAATAATCTCTGGATGAAAATATCAGTTAGGACTTCTTGTACTTATATATGGTGTTGTTGTAAGATAAAGCAAAGAAAATGCTTGATTAACTACTTGTACATCATCGATACATTGTATTTTATGACATGGTAACAACAACTGTCTATGTCAATACATTGAAACAATGTTTTTTTATGACATGGTAACAACAACTGTCTATGTCAATACATGGGTATTTTTTATTTCATGACATGGTAACACCTACTGTCTATTCAATACATTGATACATTGTATTTTATGACATGGTAACGCCTACTGTCTATGTCAATACATTGAAACATTGTATTTTATGACATGGTAACACCTACTGTCTAGTTAATACATTGCTACATTGTATTTTATGACATGATAACAACAACTGTCTATGTCAATACATTGAAACAATGTATTTTATGACATGGTAACAACAACTGTCTATGTCAATACATGGATATATTATATTTCATGACATGGTAACACCTACTGTCTAGTTAATACATTGATACATTGTATTTTATGACATGATAACAACAACTGTCTATGTCAATACATGGGTATATTATATTTCATGACATGGTTACACCTACTGTCTATTTAATACATTGATACTTTGTATTTTATGACATGGTAACAACAACTGTCTATGTCAATACATTGAAACAATGTATTTTATGACATGATAACAACAACTGTCTATGTCAATACATTGGTATATTATAGTTCATGACATGGTTACACCTACTGTCTATTAAATACACTGATACATTGTATTTTATGACATGGTAACAACAACTGTCTATGTCAATACATGGGTATATTATATTTCATGACATGGTAACACCTACTGTCTATGTCAATACATGGGTATATTATATGTCATGACATGGTTACACCTACTGTCTATTTAATACACTGATACATATCATTTTTTGACAAGGTAACACCTACTATCTATCAAATAAACTAATACATTGTTTTTACAGCATGGAAACATCTACTGTTTATTTAAATACACTGATACTTTGCATTTGTTGCATTGTAATATCTACTGTCTACTTAATACATTGATACAATGTATTTTAAGGCAGGGTAAAACAAATTGTCAATTTAAATACATTGACACATTGTATTTTATGACAAGGTAACACTTATTCTTTATCTAAATACACGGATACATTGTTTTCATGGCTGGGCACAATGTAGCACCAACTGTTTATCTTAATACACTGATTAATTTTATTTATTGCATGGTTACACCTACTGTCTAATAAATATATTGATATCCCTATACATTCACATCCAAGACAAACACTTGCATTTTATTTTTCAATTTTCATAATGATGCTTTGCCAATAGAAAAAGAAATAAACCTATAATTTTAAAAACTTGAGAACTAATTTTTATTAAATGTTTATTGAAGGATATTGAAAAAAACCACTCAAATTATGTATATACGATGCACTTTCTAGAGTAATTGTTCAAAATTGAGTAGTTGTAAAAAACAGTTAACTAAATGAGGACAAAAATACTGGAGATGACCACCAAACACTCTGCCAATGTTGTAATCTTTAGAGAAGTAACTGTAAGCCAAAAAAAATGCTTTGTTGCTTCATCTTCTAAAAGGAAGGGATTATAATCTAAGTCCAGAAAACAGAACTCTGAAATGAAACTCTTCTTCGTGATATTAACGGTGCATGGGATACCTTATACCTTCAATCAAAATACACAAGCATACCACATTGGTAACAAACAAAGAAGACATCCAAAATCAAAACCTTCTAAAGTACAAAAAAACGAACAGAGGAGACATTTAAAGAAAGAAAGGAGAAAGAAGACAATAACAAAGACTGAAGAATCTCTATAAAAATTCGTGGAATAAGTTATTCTTTACATCACGAATCTCCCGTCGATGCTTGTGAAGTCCATATATCACTGATTATCTTAGACATAGTGAGCAAGTCTTCAACTATGAAAGACACTGAAAGATCAGGTACTCAGATCATTATGACAACAGTTTTTTTCTCAGAGTAGATTGAAGCTCATCCGCGCAAAATCCCTGGATAAACAGTTAGTTCTTAAAATGGATCCATCTTTACTCCTTGGTTTTCAAATTTTGGATAATGCAAGTTATAAAATAAAAGCCTAAGAGCCTAAAAAAGAATCAGTAAATAGTTTATGTTTTGTTTATTTATTTGTTTTCTTTAAAGTCTATCTGAGATAATTTTACCGGAATTATTCATTCATCATTCACACTTCAAAAATATATCATGTAGTTGTTCTCCGGTAACAAATCTTTCCTTGACATAGTCAGGTCAATTCGTTCTTTATAATAATTAGCTTTTTATTTTAATAATATTTTATAATTCTAATATACCGGTGTCATTGAGTCCATTATAAAGCAAACTGTTGAATTAGTATGTGTTTGTGTTTACACCACGTCTGATACAGAAGTTACATTGGCAATTGCAATGAAAAAACCTAGATTTAAGTCGTAGCTCCTTTAGCATATGAATGAGAAAGTCATATTGAGTTACACTTAAACCAACTCCTAACGGAAAACTACTCAAATGATAAAGTAAATGTAATGTTGCTTAGTTTTTTTAATGTCAACAACAAATGCTTGAAAATGTAACCTTAGAAGCTTAGGCCAGTGGCACCATAGCATCAGCATACACATACAAGAACGTGCTCATTGTTTAAATTGATTTTTTTTTAAATTTATGGATTTAAATAAAAGTGGTGACACAATTCGCCCTTGTAAAGATTGATTTTTACAGAAATAGGATAAAGTAACTCCATATTTTCCAAAAAAACACATAGTTTTATATAAAACTCCCTGAAGATAATGATACAATGCATTGCTCATTTGATATTGTACGTACACATTTGTATTTCTTTATTTTACCTTTTGTACACACAAATTTTTAAAAGCAACAAAATGACTAGCACTTATATCTAAGGTGACTGGCTTGCACGCTTTAATCCCGGATATCGTTTAATCTTACTCTGACCACGTACAGTTACCTGTAAGTAAACAGCTGTTGCGGTTTGTAATAGGTTTGGTTTAGATAGTAAGGTAATGTCCAGAGAAATAGACCCCTATTTCTCATACACATGCTTAGTTCTCGTCTTTCTTTACAAAAGGTCAAGGTCATTGGTAGCACTAGAAAGATGTCCTCTACTCATTGGGTCATACATTTACAAATCGTTCTTTCAATTTATTCACCCCTGAAATTTCATAATAAACTGGCTATTATAACTTTACAATTGGAAGAGTTCAAATGTGTCTTCAGGGGTGAATGCGGTAAAGTTAGTGTCTTGGTATGTTGTTACAGTCAACAGCAAATGGGAAACAGTTTTATTGTGTTCCTGATAATTGATGACAAACAGAATCGACCAAAAACAGCTATAAATTTGAAATATCTTCTTTATCATTAATCCTTTTTTGTTTAGATTTTATTCAGCTATTGATATTATGAAATGAATAAATTGTTCTTTTAACGTTCAATCTATAAATACAGCTTGAATAGGAATATATACTGTATACAAGGACATTTTCGCTGCAGTTTAATTTTCGCCTTTTCGCCTTCTTAATGATTTCTACCAATATAGCAAATGTATGTAGACAGTTCATTCAACTAAGTAATTAAATGTGAAGGGCGAAATTACCATCGGGCGAAATTGATTGCATGGGCGAAGGGCGAAACTTTGACAAGGCGAAATTTTCCCATGATACAGTTTTAGTTCAAATACAGAAATGTATCTGGTATGCTGTTCTTGTATTTGGTACTAGGTATAACTATTGTTTACGCTAAAAAGATCTTTCAACTAAGGGAGAACTATAACTTAGGAAATCGTTATAATTGGTATTATTGTTTTTCGTCTATAAAATGTACATAGACATATTTTATTTACATGATAATTATGAGGTTCAATACCACAAAAGGATATATTTCTGTAAAGTACGTTTCATTAGAAATAAGGTGTTATTTTCTGTAAATATAAGATAAGTCTCACTTTCTTTTAAAGTATCATATTATACCAATCTGATTGATAGTGGTATTCATCAGTATAGTAAACATTGGTATAAACGGCAGTTCCTTCTTATCAGTCAATTATTTCTGAGCAAACAGTCAAAGACGACAATCATGAAGGCACTGGTTGTCTCACTCCTCCTTTTCGTTGCTACGGCTAGCTGTGGATCAACCTATAATGATATACTTTTGAAGTTGGGGAGGAAAGAATCTGTCCTTGATAGCGAACTCAACGCCTTAGCTCACGCTGACCCCGAAGACCTTCCTGTCGCGGTGGGGAATCTAGTCCGTAGTATTCCTACTGGGTAAGCTAACAATGGTAACACAATTGTATGTTAAGTCAGGTTTGTCATATCATGTATATGATATAGATATAATGTTTCAATTATTGGATTCTAAATAGTAAAATACATATTTTTTTTACCTTTTTGCAACACTTGTTATTTTGATTGATAAACCTTTGAGTTAATTTTATGCATTCTAATACTAAATTTACCTTTTTTATGTTGACATGTTTGGTTTGATATCATAAGTATGACATACATTAATGTTTTTGTCATATTTTGCTTTCACTCTAATTGGAATCCGTTAATAAAGATATGTCATATATTGAATATCAAAAGTGATTTTTTAGAGAGGCGATAATTTTACATTTTCCTTTGTATTAATGAAAGTGTTCTCGTTTTAAAGATCACACCATACATATTTAAATTACCCATGACGATGTCAACAAGGAAAAAACAATAGCTAAAGACGATGACGAAAATATGCATAAATGCCTGTTTAATTAGTGTTTTGTGAAATTATTCTTTGTCTTGTTTCATTTGTACAGACAGCACCTTTGCTGCCGTAATAAGCCAGTGATCATTGAAACTAAGTCGAGGAAGGTCCAACGAGTGCGTGCTGTGGTAGACACAGTGGCTACGTCACATAAATGTGGATTGCTCAGTACAGGACACTGCACCAATACAGATGAAGTTTACAGGTAAATGTGGATATTTCTCAGTACAGGACAATGCGCCAACACAGATAAAGTTTACAGGTAAATGTGGATATTTCTCAGTACAGCACAATGCGCCAATACAGATAAAGTTTACAGGTAAATGTGGATATTTCTCAGTACAGGACAATGCGCCAACACAGATAAAGTTTACAGGTAAATGTGGATTTCTCAATACAGTACACTACTGTAATGCAGATGAAGTTTATAGGTAAATGTGGACTTCTTAATACATTCATTAGTTTGAGTAGAGAACACAGTTTGACAACGATGTGATGTTCATCGTAGACCCATTTAAGTTATGGATATTTTCTATGATTCCAGACAGCAGACGTTCTACGTGACAGCATACTACACACAGGTGAGATCCGGGGACTGTCCTGATCGTCATATCGTCTGCTGCAACATGTACATCATGGTTGCAGAATCATGTGTTCGTAAGTATCAGGAACATCAAAATTAACACAATCAAGTCCTTATACAGACGATATCGTTATTGTAATCGTTAAAGTTTGGGTATTTATTCCCTACAATACCGATAGTGTTACATCCACCAACTTCATGTCGGTCTCGTTCTTCATCTTCTTTGTTGGCGAGTTTTCCTTCTGTTTTATTTATGATCTGTTGACACCGTTTTTACTATGTTTATGATTATAATAAGAACATTGAATGGAACGTTTTGAATGATGTAAGTTTGTTTATAAACTCAGAACAACTAACCATGATGACTGTGTTACATAATAGGATAACCTTTATTACTGCAATATGATAGCATATAATAATATGATTCACTTTATATGAAGCATTCGTTTACTCGTATTGTATGATTACGTATAATACCCCATGACCCAACGTTTAAGATGTTATTTTAAGACACTCTTATGTCGATAATTGCATACCCTAATGGTTTTAATAGGTATTTTATATCAGTATATATAGCGGAATATGAACAATTTTTCTGTCATCATTGATAATTCAGTTCTGATTTTGTTTCAGATCTGGATGACCTCCATGAACTGACGATGCAACTTATTGGCTAATAGCTATGTATTTGTTACAGAGAAAAAATAAACATCATATTCAAACCTTCCTGGTCTTTAGTTTTCCTTTCCTTGATAGTAATATAAATCTTTCCCTGGGGTTGTCTATCCCTGGCGTCAGGATACTCTGATAAGTCCAAAATGGAAGGAAATACACGTATGGTGTAGTAAAATATTTACTTTGTTTAGTGTTCTGTATTTTAAAACAAAACTTTCCAATATATGCTTTGATTTTCATTTTTTCTAGTGATCATTTTACAAGGTGGTTTACTCTGCTGTAGAATATCGTTCCCTGAGCCTGGTCGTAGCATTGCAACTTTTTTTTCGGAAACAGTTGCTATTGACACCTTCCCTTTTTTTGCTTTTTTCTGGATATCTTCCAGAAGTAGACATTAAATGTTCATTCATTTGACCTTTCAAACTAGTGAAGAATGGTTTAAATTTTTCTTACTGTTGCCCTTTTGTTAATTTATGTTTATCTTTCGGCACTCCTTTTTATAGTATTTCTATCCTGACACTAATATGTCCCATATAATGTCACTCCTGTCACCATCAAATTCCCATATCATGCCTCTCCTCACACTACTTTGTTTCCATATGATGTCCCTTCTGGCACTACTTTGCCCAAATATATATTCCGCTACATATACTGATATAAAATACCTATTAAAACTATTATTCTGACACGAGGTTGTCTCAAAATTATCTCTCCTGACATCATCTGACGTCTCTTTTGAAACTAATTTGTCCCCATATGGTGTCTCAAATACGTTGTCCGTCCCCATATGATGTCTCTCAAGAACGAATACTTTGTCCGTCCCCGTATGATGTCTCTCAAGAATAAATCCTTTGTCCGTCCCCGTATGATGTCTCTCAAGAATAAATCCTTTGTCCGTCCCCGTATGATGTCTCTCAAGAATAAATCCTTTGTCTGTCCCCGTATGATGTCTCTCAAGAACGAATACTTTGTCCGTCCCCGTATGATGTCTCTCAAGAATAAATCCTTTGTCTCTCAAGGACAAATACTTTGTCCGTCTCCGTATGATATCTCTCAAGAACAAATCCTTGTCTCCATAAGATGTCTCTCAGGACAAATACTTTGTCCGTCCCCGTATGATGTCTCTCAAGAACAAATCCTTGTCGCCATATGATGTCTCTCAAGAATACATCCTTTGTCTCTCAAGGACAAATACTTTGTCCGTCTCCGTATGATATCTCTCAAGAACAAATCCTTGTCCCCATATGCTGTCTCTCAAGGACAAATTATTTGTCCGTCCCCGTATGATGTCACTCAAGAATAAATCCTTCTCCCCATATGATGTCTCTTAAGGACAAATACTTTGTCCGTCCCCATTTGATGTCTCTCAAGAACGAATACCTCGACAGTCCCTATATGATCTCTCTCAAGGACAAATACAGTGTCTGTTCTCATATGATGTTTGTCAAAAATAAATCCTTGACCCCATATGATGTCTCTCAAGAACAAATCCTTGTCCCCATATGATGTCACTCAAGGACAAATACTTTGTCCGTTCCCGTATGATGTCTCTCAAGAAGAAATCCTTGTCCCCATATGGTGACTCTCAAGGACAAATATATTGTCCGTCCCCATATGATGTTTCTCAATGACAAATACATTGTCCGTCCCCATATGATGTCACTCAAGAACAAATACTTTGTCCGTCCCCATATGATGTCTCTCAAAAACGAATACCTCGACCGTCCCTATATGATGTCACTCCAGGACAATTACATTGTCCGTCCCTATATGATGTCTCTCAAAAACGAATACCTCAACCGTCCCTATATGATCTTTCTCCTGGACAAATTCTTTGTCCGTCCCCATATGATGTATCTCAAAAACGAATACCTCAACCGTCCCTATATGATCTTTCTCCTGGACAAATTCTTTGTCCGTCCCCATATGATGTATCTCAAGAACAATTACTTTGTCCGTCCCCGTATGATGTCTCTCAAAAACGAATACCTCGACCATCCCCATATGATGTCTCTCAAGAACAATTACTTTGGCCGTCCCCATATGATGTCTCTCAAAAACGAATACCTCGACCGTCCCTATATGATGTCTCTCCAGGACAATTACATTGTCCGTCCCTATATGATGTCTCTCTAAAACGAATACCTCAACCGTCCCTATATGATCTTTCTCCTGGACAAATTCTTTGTCCGTCCCCATATGATGTATCTCAAAAACGAATACCTCAACCGTCCCTATATGATCTTTCTCCTGGACAAATCCTTTGTCCGTCCCCATATGATGTCTCTCAAAAACGAATAACTCGACCGTACACATATGATGTCTCTCAAGAACAATTACTTTGGCCGTCCCCATATGATGTCTCTCAAAAACGAATACCTCAACCGTCCCTATATGATCTTTCTCCTGGACAAATCCTTTGTCCGTCCCCATATGATGTATCTCAAAAACGAATACCTCAACCGTCCCTATATGGTCTTTCTCCTGGACAAATACTTTGTCCGTCCCCATATGATGTCACTCAAGAGCAAATACTTTGTCCGTCCCCATATGATGTCACTCAAGAACAAATACATTGTCCGTCCCCATATGATGTCACTCAAGAGCAAATACTTTGTCCGTCCCCATATGATGTCACTCAAGAACAAATACATTGTCCGTCCCCATATGATGTCACTCAAGAGCAAATACTTTGTCCGTCCCCATATGATGTCACTCAAGAGCAAATACTTTGTCCGTCCCCATATGATGTCACTCAAGAACAAATACTTTGTCCGTCCCCCTATGATGTCTCTCAAAAACGAATACCTCGACCGTCCCCATATGATGTCTCTCAAAAACGAATAACTCGACCGTACACATATGATGTCTCTCAAGAACAATTACTTTGTCCGTCCCCGTATGATGTCTCTCAAAAACGAATACCTCGACCGTCCCTATATGATGTCTCTCCAGGACAATTACATTGTCCGTCCCTATATGATGTCTCTCAAAAACGAATACCTCGACCGTCCCCATATGATGTCTCTCAAAAACAAATACCTCGACCGTCCCCATATGATGTCTCTCAAGAACAATTACTTTGTCCGTCCCCATATGATGTCTCTCAAAAACAATTACTTTGTCCGTCCCCATATGATGTCTCTCAAAAACAAATACCTCGACCGTCCCCATATGATGTCTCTCAAAAACAATTACTTTGTCCGTCCCCATATGATGTCTCTCAAAAACAATTACTTTGTCCGTCCCCATATGATGTATCTCAAGAACAAATCCCTGTCCCCTTATGCTGCTATATGATATCTTGCCTGACACCACCATATCCCCATATCATATCACGTCTTAAATTGATTCTTAACAGTTCTTGTCTGTATTTCATATGGTGTTTTGTTTGATGTCTTGGTTTCTTTGAACATTTCATTTCTATTATAAAATCAGGTTTAATCAAAAGTATACCCCAACGACAAGTACAGTCGAGTTAAAGAGAAAATACGAAACAAATTGACACGAAAATGGTGGACACGAACCCACAGAACATAACTATCTAATTAAGAAGTTAAAAACCTTTGTAATCTCTAACCGACGTGTAGGTATACTATGTTTACCAGCAGAGATAGGGAGAAAGGGAGAAAAGGATAAATTAAAGCCTTTTTAAACTTAAATGTTTAAAAAACAAAAAACAAAATGTTGAACCCCCCTCCCACCAACAAAACAAACAAACAACGTTTCTACCTTTACATTGATTTCAGGATGTGCATGTAATTAAGAATGAAACGCAAAATATTCAACAATGTATAAGTTACTTCTCAATCTTTCTGCGTTATAGTATATGTTTTTAAAAAGTTTGATACAAGAGTTGGAAAAAAATACATTTTTCAAAAATATTAATTAACCTGGAGAAATCATGCATTACGCTCAGTTGTGAAGTAACATGAAACCCTAGCAATTAGTTGCTACTACATTTCTTTTGGGATTTCTTCGTGTATTCATTAAACACATCTAATTCTGTGTGAAACACATAGTTTATTTATAGCAATGGACCACACAGAATTAGTGACACACTTGGAAACAAATATTTTGTATCCTTAGTTCATTTTGACAAAACCAGCGTTTATTAAAAATAAACACAAAAAATCATTAATGTTGTAATCAAATTGTATTCCTCTTTATTTTCACAATTAACCAACGACTATATCATGGTTGTGCAGGTTGATGAGATCGCCCTGTATGTCGGGGAGTCGACTGGCCACTGGAATAGATCAAATGAATACTTGTATATAAATAGATAACATTTAATACTCCCAATAAAGTCAGACTTATCTTAATATAAACTTTATTTATTTTACAACAATTATGAAACAAGTAAGTTCAACTTCTATTAAATATTTATTGGCCCGTATGTTAGCGCGCATGGGAATGTGGGAGGAAACCGGAGTACCCATAGAAAACCCACGCGGTCGGGCAGGTAACCCCATACCTTTTCACGTCCGATCGGGAAATCGATCCCCGGACGCATTGGTGAAAGGCAAGTGCGCTATCCACTGCGCCACCCGACCACCCGACTTATCATAAGACTTATCATATAAAGGTTAACACACATTGATATAGAATAAAGTGTTTAATGGTAAATGGTCTTTACTAGAAAATTTCAAACTTACGAAGGCATTGACCAGCGACTAAGATGTAGTTGTTGCAGCATGTCAGGTGTTTATCAGGACAGGTAGTGTGCACTACTCTGCTGCTGTAGGTAGCTTTATAACCCGTTTTATACCTATATAAAAATATACAGTTATAGACAGAGGTGCAACTCATAGAAAGGGTATCTTTTTTACATACGCATACGCATGTTTCTTTTAATTATATGCATATTGTAATGCAAAGTTCATTTCAATTATGGTTTTTTTAAAGAGAAGTACAGAATGTAGGAGTTAATGATTATTGATAGCAATGCAAAGTACGACACAACAACAAACTATAAAGCAGAGTTTGTGACACAACAGATTACCAATACAGAGCTTATCACGACACTACAGCATTTACCCAAACACTTAATAACACAATGCAATAATGCACCAATTCGATCACATCAAAATTCCATTTCGCGACAATTGTAGTATTTTTTTGTCAATAACATGTTTTTCAATTGGAGAATTCCCGATTGTAAAGTATCTTTATCATCAAGGGCATATATCTGTTGTCATCTTTACGATTAAAAGCATCACTACATGACAATAAAGACAGCCTTTTGTGTTGTGTAACCCGTTATTGTCTCCACAACAGCATTTGAAGTTCCTGTTCTACGTATCACATGTAAAATGATATAGAAAAGAAGCTTAGCCATATACCCCGCCGTGTAACTTGTGGTATGGCAACGTCCAAGATGGAGAAATCCGCAGTGTCGTGTGCCCGTATGTTTGACCGGTACAGTAACGCGTATAGTCGACACGTGCGAATCTACAATGGTTTTTGTGGGGGTAATTTTGCAGCACCAGTGGTCCCTACAAAACAAACATAAGGATGAAATATATATGGAATTTATCAAATATAATCAAAATTATCCATAGTGTCGAATTATCAGGAAAAAATCGGAATTCAAAATGATTCGAAAGTCAGTTAAGGAACCGATGACACAACATTAAAGAATTATACCATAAATCTCAACCTATAAACGGATACTAAACCAGGTGTTCCAGAAGGATAAGCGGTTCCTGCATAATATTTTTTCATAAAAACAGAAGAAAATTATTATCTACTAAGACACACCGTCTTAGAGCTTGATACTATACTAAAGTATACAGTCTATATAGCAACATATGTAATTATACATTTTATATAGCCAATTATGTAACGACGCAGTGTATATAGCAATGTACGTATTTATACTGTGTATACATACTAATGTTCTTATTATACAGGGTAATTATGATGTATTCCGGTGGTGTAATTCTGCAATCGACTTATGACATTCGTATGTCATATGTATATGACATATGTCATATGAATTGATTTTGTCTAGACAAGTAAGTATGCAGTAAAATGCCAATGAATTTAAATCAAACAAACATCTAAAGATACAAAAAGTAACATTTTCGAACCTAAAAATAGAGTACTAGTAAGTAAAATAAAGTAATACTTACCCATTGTCAGTAGCCCTGCTTTCACGTAGGACTTCCTTCACTCTTTCAGGAAGGGAGTCGAACTCCAAATGTCCAAATTTATTCTCGTCCTCATGAACAGCCTCCAATGTATCCTCGTCAGAAGAAACATAGGCCAGGAAAAGAATGAGAAAAATATTAAGCACCAACATGATGTCAGTATCGCTATTGTTACCGCTGTGTCCTTATCATATGTGGTTCCTGGACGGGCTACACTTTTATAACACTCGTCAGCTTGACATTCCCTAGTGCCTCACATTTCTACTAAATATAGGACATAATTATCAAGTTGAAGAAGGTTAGAAGAGTATCAAATTACATTAATCACGCGCACAAAATGTTGTGCTTAAATGATGGAACAAATCGTTGCTGTAGTGTTAGTTTTATGTTACATTTTATGGTTTAAGATGCATCGGATAATATCTCGAGCTTAAATGTCATATCTTATCACATAATGCGTATTCAGAATTTATTTATACAAATTATTATTGACAAACTTAATTGAAGAGTGTGAGTGTTTAGGTCCATTAATTGGTGGCCAAGTTGCACTTTGTCAGGAAGTTTTAAAGTTGTGCTTTAATGATGGAACAAAACATTGCTTTATAGCATATTATGGTTAAACATACAACGGATAATATCTTAAGCTGAACTTCTATATCTTATCATATAATGCGTATTTATAACCTGTTTTTACAAATTAATATCGGTAAACTTGATTTGGAAGTGTGCAAGTTTATGTCCATTACTTGATGGCCATGTTACACTTCAATATTGTAATAATATTTTAAAGTTTTATTTTAATTATGGAACAAATCATTGCTAGAGACTATCTTATGGTTAAACATACAACGGATAATATCTTAAGCTGATCTTCTATATCTATAACTTGTATATCTAATGCGTATTTCTGACCCTTTTCCACAAATGATTTTTGGTAAACTTGATTTGAGGAGTATGAGTGTGTAAGTCCATTAAAAGTGGCCAAATACACTTATGGAATACCATATGAAAGGTGTCACATATGGTGCAGGAAGCTCTTGTCAGAGGCCCTGGTCTCACTTCCCGGTTTGTATTAGTTCTTTAGATACAGTTTATGGTGTTGTCTTGTGCTTCTGACGTCGAGCTCTGATTGTATACCCTTATGTTGATGTAGTGGTGTATACACATTATTAAATACACATTATTTAAACCTTATTCACAACTTTGGTTTGAAATTAATTTCCTTGACGCTAGTGTCATTTTATTGTGTTTCGTAGTGTAGCAGAAAACATGTCTAATAGGTACAAAAGTGTATATAAGAGTTTTTAAGAAATGGGATGAGGATTTCGTGACTTAGGGAGAAGTAGAAACGTGAAGGGTGGTCATTCTAGCATTGAAATTCACAGCATATGGTCATTTTTTTAATTTTGATTTTCAAAATTTACATGGAACAAGAGTTTAGGATTTGTTTTCAATATATAATTTAAAAACCATGATCCATAATACGAAATTTTAATTTATATACATGATAAAGTGATTTTCGAAACGTGAAGAGAAAGTACGAAAACATTTAAGGTGTAACGGTGTCAGGCGCCATAAGGTTTTCCAGATATTTTGCCTTATCAGTTTTATCTCTGTTTTGACCTTGAATGCAAGACCCCATTTATCGAATCTAACTTGTATTTATACAACTGGACAACATGGTGATGTATGAGACTACAAAAGAAACAATAGACACAATTGGTGTATATTCAGGCATGTTTAATTAAACAGTGGTGATATATTAAGTGCCTCTCCGTCGTGGCTTCTAGTAAACAGGCTCGTACTTATCAAATTTCATTTATTCTTACGGTTTTAATATAATTTCTTCTGCCTATATGAATAAATCGGCAAAGATTTGTCAAGTACACTTCGGACACGGAAGTTGATTTCTAATGGACTGAGTGTATGTCTTATCAGTGTCCGTGCGTGAATTGGCGTAAACAAGTATGACCGCAACTTTCACACCAGACTATCTCTGTACGTGACCTGTTGGCACCAATTTACTTGATATCCTGCCTTACACGCGGTGCAAGGTTTCATAGTTAGTTTGTATTACACCACAATCTTTACAAGTTATTCCAAAAGATTGAATACTTCAAAATCTTATTTACAAAATATAATGAATTGCACAATGTATAACCAAACAAAACGTTGAGCCATTGACATTTTATCCAAGATGGACTCCCTGTTTTAATGAATTTTATATCAACATTTCCGGAACCTTTCAACTCCAAACACCAATGCTGGAAAGTACAGATTTAACCCTATTAACATTCGAGGTGAAATGTTGCATGGTGGTTCTTACGCTTGTTATAATTTCGCTTGTTTATGTCAATTTTTTAACGTTTCATTTGTCTTTCGCCTTAAACAATTTTAGATTTAATCAATATCTAGATAACGGTTCCACAACCAAATAGTGTAGAATTATCGAAAATTGTCAATGTCATCAAAGAACAATTAATATGCCCCATCCAAAACCTGAAGTCAGAGTCACCATAGGGACAACACTGAGAACCGGGAAAACTCTCACATTTCCAACTGAAACGAAACTAAGTATTCCAAAAGGGACCATCTCCTCTTTAGCTATCTGAACTCATATATTAGAAATGTATAGCACAACGTTTTGTTCAGAAATTAAGGAATTTAATAGCTAGACGTGATAGCTATTGTATCCATTGCCATGTCCCTTACACCCATATAGAGCTCGACGTGATAGCTATTGTATTCATTGTCATGTCCCTTACACCCATATAGAGCTGGACGTGATAGCTATTGTATCCATTGTCATGTCCCTTACACCCATATAGAGCTCGACGTAATAGCTATTGTATCCATTGCCATGTCCCTTACACCAATATATAGCTCGACGTGATAGCTATTGTATTCATTGTCATGTCCCTTACACCCATATAGAGCTTGACGTGATAGCTATTGTATCCATTGCCATGTCCCTTACACCAATATATAGCTCGACGTGATAGCTATTGTATCCATTGTCATGTCCCTTACACCCATATAGAGCTCGACGTGAGAGCTATTGTATCCATTGTCATGTCCCTTACACCCATATAGAGCTCGACGTGAGAGCTATTGTATCCATTGTCATGTCCCTTACACCCATATAGAGCTCGACGTGAGAGCTATTGTATCCATTGTCATGTCCCTTACACCCATATAGAGCTCGACGTAATAGCTATTGTATCCATTGCCATGTCCCTTACACCAATATATAGAAATGTATAGCACAACGTTTTGTTCAGAAATTAAGGAATTTAATAGCTAGACGTGATGGCTATTGCATCCATTGCCATGTCCCTTACACCCATATATAGCTAGACGTGATAGCTATTGTATTCATTGCCATGTCCCTTACACCCGTATAGAGCTCGACGCGATAGCTATTGTATTCATTGTCATGTCCCTTACGCCCATATAGAGCTCGACGTGATAGCTATTGTATCCATTGTTACGTCCCTTACACCCATATAGAGCTCGACGTGATAGCTATTGTATTCATTGCCATGTCCCTTACACCCGTATAGAGCTCGACGCGATAGCTATTGTATTCATTGTCATGTCCCTTACGCCCATATAGAGCTCGACGTGATAGCTATTGTATTCATTGCCATGTCCCTTACACCCGTATAGAGCTCGACGCGATAGCTATTGTATTCATTGTCATGTCCCTTACACCCATATAGAGCTTGACGTGATAGCTATTGTATCCATTGCCATGTCCCTTACACCAATATATAGAAATGTATAGCACAACGTTTTGTTCAGAAATTAAGGAATTTAATAGCTAGACGTGATAGCTATTGCATCCATTGCCATGTCCCTTACACCCATATATAGCTAGACGTGATAGCTATTGTATTCATTGCCATGTCCCTTACACCCGTATAGAGCTCGACGCGATAGCTATTGTATTCATTGTCATGTCCCTTACTCCCATATATAGCTCGACGTGATAGCTATATTATTCATTGTTACGTCCCTTACACCCATATATCGCTCGACGTGATACCTATTGTATCCATTGCCATGTCCCTTACACCCATATAGAGCTCGACGTGAGAGCTATTGTATTCATTGTCATGTCCCTTACACCCATATAGAGCTCGACGTGATAGCTATTGTATTCATTGTCATGTCCCTTACGCCCATATAGAGCTCGACGTGATAGCTATTGTATTCATTGCCATGTCCCTTACACCCGTATAGAGCTCGACGCGATAGCTATTGTATTCATTGTCATGTCCCTTACGCCCATATAGAGCTCGACGTGATAGCTATTGTATCCATTGTTACGTCCCGTACACCCATATATAGCTCGACGTGATAGCTATTGTATACATTGTTACGTCCCTTACACCCATATATAGCTCGACGTGATAGCTATATTATTCATTGTTACGTCCCTTACACCCATATATAGCTCGACGTGATAGCTATTGTATCCATTGCCATGTCCCTTACACCCATATAGAGCTCGACGTGATAGCTATTGTATCCATTGTCATGTCCCTTACACCCATATATAGCTAGACGTGATAGCTATTGTATCCATTGCCATGTCCCGTACACCCATATATAGCTCGACGTGATAGCTATATTATTCATTGTTACGTCCCTTACACCCATATATCGCTCGACGTGATACCTATTGTATCCATTGCCATGTCCCTTACACCCATATAGAGCTCGACGTGATAGCTATTGTATCCATTGTCATATCCCTTTCACCCATATATAGCTCGACGTGATAGCTATTGTATCCATTGTCATACCCCTTACACCCATATATAGCTCGACGTGATAGCTATATTATTCATTTTTACGTCCCTTACACCCATATATAGCTCGACGCGATAGCTATTGTATCCATTGCCATGTCCCTTACAACAATATATAGCTCGACGTGATAGCTATTGTATCCATTGTCATATCCCTTACACCCATATATAGCTCGACGTGATAGCTATTGTATCTATGGTCATGTCATGATATAATTTGGGAGTCTGTGACGTCAGTTCACAACTTTTTGATGACAACGACCACAATATGTAACATTCCACGAGTTCATATGCAAATATATGACATAAACGTTTTTACAGAGTGATAATGTAAACAATTGTAACATTTTGATATATATTGTGTACTTTAAATGTATTTTAATATAAACTTTGCATCAACATATATATTGTTACTCAGAAATTGTAATACGTTTTAAAAATTGTGCACTGTGTATTTAAATACATGTACATGTACTGTTTTAACTGCTTTCTTTTGTTTAAACGATGTGCTATGCGTAATTATATAATAATGTATACGAACTGTGTTCTTTTTAATATCAATGTGTATGGAAAAACATTTACTCTGTATTAAAATATATTTCAATCATATTCATCGACACTATTGTTTGTTTGTTTTCTATTTTGCGTTATCACATATTCACTACATGTAGATCGATTTAAAAATGGTTCTAAGAGAAATCCAAGAAAAAGACGAAACATGACAGAGATATCAATTTGAATTATTTTATTTGAATTGTTGGCAAGTTCAGTGACACGTAAATCAAATATCGACTTATAGATAAGAAACAGAAACGCAACACAATATTTAAATTGTAGATATCTTTATTTCCGATGCGTTATACAGATGACATGAAATTGATTGCCAGTAACTATCCGATCAAACCAGCGTCAATAAGGGCCTGGAGGGAGTCAATGGCCGAGGATTCTGTTGAAACAAGTTTGAAATTATCGGCAGCAGAAGCAGTATTTAATAGGTCTTATTCATCTTATCTAACAATCGCAATTGACATTTTATGGTAAAATGAAATAAAATAGATAAAACCAATACATACCAGACATATAATGAAAAGTCAACACTAGTATATCACATCGCAAACGTCTAGAAAGATTAAACGTTAGACACGTGCATGTGATTAAAAACATTTATCTGTTCGAAGAGTTGTGACTTTACAGCAATCGACAGCACTTATATATGTTTATGAATGATAGAAGTATACGCACACAAGTATTGTAAAGTGTGGGCTAGTAACTTACTTAGACATTGGTCCTGGTGTTTGACATAACCCTCACAACACACTAGGTGTTCCGTGGGACACACGCCCTGCTGTATCACTGGTTTTACCACGGGCACCTGTTGGTATGTGATAACTGTCCTGTATGCAAAATGACATACTAGTTACTTTCTGCATTTAAGTTAAATAACATTGAAACTTTTTTTTCCCTGTTTAACAAATTAAGAATAGGAATTTTTAAAACTGCAATGAACTCCCTACACAAGGTTCCTTTTGTAATAATATTTTCTCGTGTGAACGTCACAGAAATCGTTCAAACTCCTGCCATTACATTTTTGCTTGTGATATATTGGATTCTAGGGACTTTTCTGATACATCATATCACACTTTGACAAACATTAAGAATCAATTTTGGTATTGACCAAACAGAATGATGGGGGCCATATATTTTCTATTCAGATGCAAATAAAGCGACATCAAACGAAGTTGCTATTTCCATACATCTGTATTCAATTACTTTACTACAAAACTGATAAAAAATTTTGTAAAACTTGCCAAATGATATCAGAAAACGGTAACTTGGTGTTGAGTAGCTTATTCAAACTAGCGCGCAGACCTATTGTCTTTGAGAGTAACTTCATTAAAATATGGCGCCAAAAATTTCCCTTGTTAGTTCCTGCACTGTGGCGGTAAAATTTTCATCGCTGTGTGTACTTTAAAATGTCCAAGTGGAAAGTTAAATGACTTTCCCGTTGAATACAATACGTAATATATATTATATGTTATTCAGCGGGAAACAATTAAATACCTCTATCTATTTGCAAAGAGAAGAAAGACACTTTAAAAATAGTAGCATAGACTTATCAAATTAGTAACAGAACGCTGACAATGGAGCGTTCCCTTAACGACAACAACTCACTGACCTGGAGACGTTCACCATACCCTGGCAGTACACACCGATCGGTCCAACAGTCGTGTCCTCACCGTCCGCACATTGGTGAATAGGACCTACTTTCACCTCCCAGATCACTTTCGTAAACTGGTGTATTTCTATCGAAGTGAAATTGGACGACGAGCTGGTCGGCTCCACTTCACAGCACCAATTGGAACTAAAGAACAAATAGCTCGTCACAATAACTAGAAGTCCCAGTCAACATTTACCCTGCATGTTTTAACAGCTATCAAGCGGTAACATCTTAATTTAAACTATTTAAACGCTACGTAATCATTCAGCCTTTTCTTCTCTTTGTAGGAAGTGAAATATTTATATTTGACTATATATCTATTTGAAGATATTGATGCTCCTTGAAAGTAATACACAATTAGCATAGTATGATTCGCTAAAAGTATCGATTTCGGAAATGAATATGTACATGCGTTGAAAACAACAGTATTATTATCAAGCTTCATAACGTACATGGTGCAGAAAATCTATCAATTTCAACAAAATAAGAAGTGCAGGAGCAGTCACGTCATCAGTGTATAGACATTTAAAACCCTACTGAATCATCTTAGTTTCTTTGCTTAAAAACACTATAATAAAGAAAACGATCAAAATAGTATCATACTTATCGCCAGTTCTCTTTATTGTTCTTCCGTCTGTGCTCCAAAAGAGGCCGAGAAGGGCCGAAACAGCAAGGACGAGTAGGGTTCTTGTAATACCTTTCATCTCTAAAGGTTAAATGTTGTACAGACTTCGATACTTATTCTTATCAAGCATGACGCTACACATACACATCTGTAAAACCACACCCGCTATCCGTTTAAACAGACGCTCGATATTTACACATACGAAAAGTACTGATCTCACTTTTGAATTAAACCCTTTCTTTGCAATAAAGATATTTTACAAGAAAGAAATGATTGGTTGATTCTTCTACTGCTAACATATGCGTTTGAGAATGTAGTAAAATTACAAAAATAGCCCGAGTATCTTAAGGCAATTAATAATATTAATAATTCTTCGTGACACATTGTTGAGAATTTTTCGATTGATTAAAAATTATTTTACATTCATTAAGTTTTATTTTAAAGAGAATCTTACTGAGGTCTGTTCGTTTATCAGCTGTAAGATCCCAGCGATATATAAGCGTGTTTACACAGTACACACACTAGATAACCACAGTACTAAGGCCTGCCACGATGAGGTTGACAGGTAAGACTTTATAAATATAATCTAATAAATAACATTGTTTTCCAACAGATTTCCACTTGTAACAAACAAATCTAATTATACAGAAGGGGGAACAGGAACAGCGGTCGTTATGAGCTGATTTTTAACAATCAATAGAAATATGAAAACAGAAACACGTATTTGAAAATTTTGTTACAAAATTAACATTTGGCTGTACCATATGGCCATTTCTTCCAATCAGGACTCACAAGTGATACTAAAGCTCAAAAGAATTAAAACTGATGAAACTTCTTGTCTGGTTTTTTTCCGATTGATATGAAGGTGCCTATACAATCATGTAAAACGTTGAAATTGTACAGCGACAGATAAGCTTTACTTAAATTGGTATTACAATATAAAGAAAACGACATCTCGGGGAGATCATATATGTTGCACAAGTTGTAGACGGACAAGTAAACCATGACGTTAAATATAATCAATGTCACATTACGAAGACGTTGTTAGTGAGGTAGCGTGGCAAAGACTACAGACGTTTATGTTAACATTTGTTTGTGTAGATATTTAATACACAACTGATTTTCACGTTCATTTTGTAGCAATTCAATCATGTCTTTGTTGTGTTTTGCAGTTTTGATTTTGGTCATCTTTGTATGCCACGTATATAGTCATGAATCCCGGGGTCTACATAAAATATTGGCTTCAGCGACAGGCAGAATCGTGAGGAAGGCGGGAACGTCGTCCGAGAGAGCAGCGGCAGCAGGCGGGGCATCGGCTGCTTCAGCGGCTGTCAGCGCTGCACTTATGGCAGTGAACCCGGTGGCCGGGGCGGCATCAGTATTCCTTGCTCCATTGGTAGATGGAGTTGTACAACTTGAGAAGCAGTTTATGTCATATCTAAGCGAAAATATGTTGGGCAATCATCCATTTGTAAGTAGGATAGGCCATCTTCTGGTTAACACTGCTTCCCTACATCCTTATTTGTTGAATACTAATCAAGTTCATGTAAGTGATTTGTGATATTGACTCGATGTTACTACTTTTAGTCACAGCAGATCAGTAGTCTCTTATGACGCATATATTGAATTTCAAAATCACTTCAGCACCATAGTAATATTATTTATCAGATGCAACTTAGACCGTTAATCCTTTATTTAGTACGACAGAAATATATCAACCGATTACTGGAAGGGTGAGAGTAACGTCATCAATTTTTGAGAAAACGACGTAATTTTCTCACACAAACAAATGACGTAACAATCAATACCTGTTCTCAAGAGAAGATAACTCTGCAATACGCAAAGACGGAATACATTTGATCCGCAATCAAAACATGCATCTTTTGATAAGCGAAACATATGTTTTTTCCAGCACACAGTCCTAGGACGAGGTGTTAGGATTCATGCTACAGGTACCACCATATCTATTCAGGACGTGGCCAGTGGAATAACAGTGGTCGGGACAGGTGCCACAGTAGACGTAAGGACTATAAAACAAAACTCAGTTTACCTTTCATGATATAATTTCGTCTATCCGGTATGTTAACAAGCGATACTACTTCCCGTCTAAGGTTATATCCATATTACATTAAGAACAAAAACTTATTAAACGATGGGCAAAGATATTAACAAAATGATGATATTCACTGTCAGATGGGGTATGCGGGTTCACACCAGATTCCTTATATTTCTATCCCCCTAGTCGATTACCTAAGTATAAAACACACTGACAGGACGGCAGGGATGTTAGGACAATTGATTCAATTTGATTCACGCTTGTAAAAACGTCCATACATTTTTACAAACCCACAAACAAGTTTTGCTTCCTGTTTTAAAATTTCTTTTTAATTCCAATTTCTGTACGACTGCTAGGAGGCTATGAGTATGGCGACACAGAAGTACGTCACCACACTGCTAGAGATGGGCTTTATCAGCAAGGATGACTTACATTTGGCACCGATACTCACCACCACTGAAGGTAGGGTGTGACTGTAGAACTCTTTATCTATATAATGGCACCAATACTCACCACCACTGAAGGTAGGGTGTGACTGTAGAACTCTGTATCTATATAATGTCACCGATACTCACCACCACTGAAGGTAGGGTATGACTGTAGAACTCTTTATCTATATAATGGCACCAATACTCACCACCACTGAAGGTAGGGTGTGACAAAAGGCCTCTGTATCTAAATAATGTCACCGATACTCACCACCACTGAAGGTAGGGTATGACTGTAGAACTCTGTATCTAAATAATGTCACCAATACTCACCACCACTGAAGGTAGGGTATGACAGTAGAACTCTGTATCTAAATAATGTCACCAATACTCACCACTCACTGAAGGTAGGGTGTAACAAAAGCAATTTGTATCTAAATACAATACGTCTTTGTAAAATTGCCAGATTCCGCCAGTCAGAACCCTGTATCTACAAAGCAACACAAGAATTAAAAAAAAATTATCAATAAAACTGTAAATGGAATTCAAATTCGATAAATATGGGAAAATATGTATAAACGAAATATTTACATGAAGACCCTTCAAAGGGTACAAAGAGAATAAAACCATGTGTTTCGGAAGGGTGAACGTCTTCTGCTTTATCGACAACACCCGACATGTAAATCTAGATCAAATCTAAGTTATGAAATCTCCTAATCGCAAACACTTGCCGAACGATGACCATTCTTTTGATGTCACAATTGCTCTTTTGTTTCAACAAGATTTGTCAAGCCACAGACAACACACGCAATGCCCTACTTACCGTGTGGTACCGGAAAACTTCCAAATCTAACGAACAACGATCAGTGAGGAGCATTGCATTGTGTTTTGTTTTTACTGCAATAGAATTTTTATCATTGTGGCAGATTTCAATTGGCTTCGCATTATGGGGAATTACCCTTTAGCTCAATCGGTAAGGCGCGGCGGACGGGGATGGTGGGGGTCACTGGATCGATCCCCGTTTGAAGCACACTAGTCTCGTTCCCGTAACATAAATTAAGTTTAGAACTTAAAGATTTAATGTTGTATTTTCTGTTTAAGTGCCATGTGGAGACAACTATCCCAAGTCGTACTGTGAGGACCAGAAACAGCAGGGCTTCTGTTCCCCTCGCAGTGCCTATGCTACCTTCATGTCCGACAACTGTTACGCTACTTGTAGGTGAGTGTGGGATCTATTGCCTAGGGATTTTTGATTTACGTAATACAATATTCTTTACATGTTGAATCGTCCGTCTTAATTCAAAAGTGAAGGAAAATACACGCATAGAAAAAAAGATAATTTAGAAATCAAAATAATCATGTTTTTACTAAGTCTTCAGATGGATTACAACACTGGACGACCTTAAAAGTTATATCTTTACCCTTACTTTCTCTCAGTGCATTTGTTGCCTCATCGTGAATTACACTAGGTCACAACACTGCTCCTCTTAATAATATCTACATTTTTCTCTTTTTATTTTTAAAATGTTAAGTATGATTTTCTATCGTTATTAGAAAAGATCACAGCACTGCTCGATTTAAAGAATTGTAGCCCCATTTGCATTGTCAACTATGGTCATCAAGACTTGGCAAAAACACTTAAAACTTCCGCTTTAATTTGCAGGGGAGGATGCTGAAGAGGTAACTAAGAAGATTCCACAACATTACAATGTCATATACAGAAAATACACCACTCCAATGTTCATTGTTTGTGTCCAGTTTTCTTCTTATATATGCACAGCCTTTCTAGTGTATTGTATCACGGAATTAGAGTACTTATATACACACAGCCTCACTAGTGTATTGTATCACGGAATTAGAATACCATATACACAGCCTTACTAGTGTATTGTATCAGTGATATAGAGTACCACACACACAGCCTTACTAGTCTATTGTATCACGGACTTCGAGTACGATACACACAGCCTTACTAGTGTATTGTACCACAGAATTAGAGTACTTATATACACACAGCCTTACTAGTGTATTGTATCACAGACATAGAGTACCACACACAGCCTTACTAGTGTACTGTATCACTGATATAGAGTACCATACACAGCCTTACTAGTGTATTGTATCAGTGATATAGAGTACCACACACACAGCCTCACTAGTGTATTGTATCACGGAATTAGAGTAACATACACACAGCTTTACTGGTGTATTGTATCACGGAATTAGAGTACTTATATACACACAGCCTTACTAGTGTGTTGTATCAAGGAATTAGAGTACTTATATACAGACAGCCTTACTAGTGTTTTGTATCAAGGAATTAGAGTACTTATATACAGACAGCCTTACTAGTGTTTTGTATCAAGGAATTAGAGTACTTATATACACACAGCCTTACTAGTGTGTTGTATCAAGGAATTAGAGTACTTATATACACACAGCCTTACTAGTGTATTTTATCACGGAATTAGAGTACCACACACAGCCTTTCTAGTGTATTGTATCACGGAATTAGAGTACTTATATACACACAGCCGTACTAGTGTATTGTATCAAGGAATTAGAGTACTTATATACAGACAGCCTTACTAGTGTTTTGTATCAAGGAATTAGAGTACTTATATACAGACAGCCTTACTAGTGTTTTGTATCAAGGAATTAGAGTACTTATATACACACAGCCTTACTAGTGTGTTGTATCACGGAATTAGAGTACCACACACAGCCTTTCTAGTGTATTGTATCACTGATATAGAGTACAATACACACAGCCTTACTAGTGTATTGTACCACAGAATTAGAGTACTTATATACACACAGCCTTTCTAGTGTATTGTATCACTGATATAGAGTACAATACACACAGCCTTACTAGTGTATTGTACCACAGAATTAGAGTACTTATATACACACAGCCTTACTAGTGTATTGTACCACGGAATTAGAGTACCATACACACAGTCTTACTAGTTTATTGTATCACGGAATTGGTCATCAAGACTTGGCAAAAACACTTAAAACTTCCGCTTTAATTTGCAGGGGAGGATGCTGAAGAGGTAACTAAGAAGATTCCACAACATTACAATGTCATATACAGATAATACACCACTCCAATGTCCATTGTTTGTGTCCAGTTTTCTTCTTATATATACACAGCCTTACTAGTGTATTGTATCAGTGATATAGAGTACCACACACACAGCCTTACTAGTCTATTGTATCACGGACTTCGAGTACCATACACACAGCCTTACTAGTGCATTGTACCACAGAATTAGAGTTCCATACACACAGCCTTACTAGTGTATTGTACCACGGAATTAGAGTACCATACACACAGACTTACTAGTGTGTTGTATCAAGGAATTAGAGTACTTATATTCACACAGCCTTACTAGTGTATTGTATCTCGTAATTAGAGTACCATACACACAGCCTTACCAGTGTATTGTATCACTGATATAGAGTACCATACCCACAGCCTTACTAGTGTATTGTATCACTGATGTAGAGTACCACACACACAGCCTTACTAGTCTATTGTATCACGGACTTCGAGTACCATACACACAGCCTTACTAGTTTATTGTATCACGGAATTGGTCATCAAGACTTGGCAAAAACACTTAAAACTTCCGCTTTAATTTGCAGGGGAGGATGCTGAAGAGGTAACTAAGAAGATTCCACAACATTACAATGTCATATACAGAAAATACACCACGCCAATGTTCATTGTTTGTGTCCAGTTTTCTTCTTATATATGCACAGCCTTTCTAGTGTATTGTATCACGGAATTAGAGTAACGCACACGCAGCCTTACTAGTGTATTGTATCGCTGATATAGAGTACCACACACACAGCCTCACTAGTGTATTGTATCACGGAATTAGAATACCATATACACAGCCTTACTAGTGTATTGTATCAGTGATATAGAGTACCACACACACAGCCTTTCTAGTGTATTGTATCACGAATTAGAGTAACATCCACACAGCTTTACTGGTGTATTGTATCACGGAATTAGAGTACTTATATACACACAGCCTTACTAGTGTATTGTACCACAGAATTAGAGTACCATACACACAGCCTTACTAGTCTATTGTATCACGGAATTAGAGTACCATACACACAGCATTACTAGTGTATTGTATCACTGATATAGAGTAGCATACACACAGCCTTACTAGTGTATTGCATCACTGATATAGAGTACCATACACACAGCCTTATTAGTGTGTTGTATCACTGATATAGAGTACCATACCCACAGCCTTACTAGTGTATTGTATCACAGAATTAGATCCAAGTCCATGATTGTATGTAATGGATCAGGTTTATAAGATTTTTTTTATTCTATTTTATGCTTTTGCTTCAGGTAAACATTAAAATGTAAAATGTCACCATGGTCAAAAGTAAAATTGGGTATATAATTAAATTTGCAAATGTGATTTTGAGAGAATCATGTTAGGAGTGCTTCCATCCAAGCTCTCTATTTTGCCGTTAAATTCGGGATGCAACTACGATCATCCGAGTTCAACACCTCCAATGCAAGAAGCGGACATCTTGTTGGAAACTGACACGACACTACCACAATTCGCAAAGATGTTGTATATGCTTCAATTTACCACTATTTATTTTACCACTATATCTCTAGTCTGTGAACATTGATTCCGAGATTTCTCGGCTCATACATACTTACTATTTTCCTCCAACCTACCGTATTCGGCTCAAAATCTATGTTCCTGTAAGTGCATAACTTTAGGCCTTCAACCTACACCTACAGCCTGTGGCGCAGGGATTTACTATTTTCACTATTAGATCTTCAAACTTATAGCAATTGGCGTACGACAATGAACCATCAGTGCTGGTCATATGTGACAACCAAACTACCCCCAACTGCGTTAACCCTAATTACCAACAAACCTTAAAAGTACGATCAGTAGCTCAGGAGTCGAATGTGGAAGTAAGCTAACTTCCAAAATAACATGGATAAGATGTCATGTGTGCTAACCGTTGGACCTCCAAAACATGTCTAAAAGCTCAGAGATTATATGTGCTGACCACTTTACTAGACTGTAAAACTATAAGCTCAGCTGTTGTAAACACTTGTACTTCCATGTAGCAACATAATTAATACAATAACCACCATCATTTTCAATCCAGTATTTATTTTCATATCTTGAAATCATCTCTTACAAAACTGACATCAGCAAATGTATCTGATAAAAGCAAACAATAGTTCCATTTTGTACAGATTTAGAGACTAACATTTGGTAACAAAAACTAACATTTATGAGTCTTGTATATTAATAACAATATCTGTCGTGGCATAATAAATAACATTGATAATGAATTGCAAAACAAATGATATATTGTAATCTAAACACTGATATGATTCACCGTAGTATTATGCTGATGATGAATAATAACATGTTTAAGTAGATTTAGTTTTATTTTTGTAAACGAAATGCTGTCAAATGATCATATTTGTGAAACAGAATGTAATGGTAAACGAACGTCTAATGATTGGTTTAATAATACCAGACTATCTACATTCCTCTAGGTTTACAAACGTCTAATGATTGGTTTAATAATACCAGACTATCTGCATTCCTCTAGGTTTTCAAAGAATACTTTATTGTACCAGGAAATTTCACCCAGAGTTGTTTCCGCACTTTTTTCGCCCTTCGCACTGTCGGCGAATTTATCTTAACAGTGAATATAAGTAAACAACATACCCTATATATATATAGTTAATACATTTTAAGGGCAAAATTAACACTTGGAGAACATGGATTTCACCAGTAAAGGGTAAATATTTAACTGGGCGAAAGTTTTCTGATCTACAGTATATCAGCGATGATTTTTTTCTCTATTTGGTTACTTGGGTAAAAATGACTACAAAATAGCTGGATTTTTGCCAGCAAAATGTTCTACATGTATCTAAACACAAGTACAACATCAATATGTATATATTAATCATTAGCCTCGCCATGCTGAGTTGTAAACAATACAGAAACAGGTTAGACAATAATGGAATAAATACTCTCACAGCTCTGTACATATAATGTAATATACATGTATAACGGGTAAGTTCTATACATGTTTTTATCTTGGTAACAACAAGTACACACGAACCTACCTATCTACCAATATGTACAGGATCTATCTTGGTAACAGCGCTGGTTCATCGACACATACAAGTTATGTACAACATATGAAAAATGAAAATAGCTGCTTCTTTTTCTAAAATGATCACAATTATTATGATATTGGCCTCTCTTTCCCATTAAATAAATATTTAAATGAAATATGAATATTTCAATTTAATACAACCCTGTACAAAGATATAAATATTTTAAAGATAAATCTTTGGTAGAAAACAATACTTTCAAAGTAATCAAATGTTCTGTAGATACATTACAGTTTAATTTCACTAAATTGACGTAACAATTATTCTTAAATATTTTAGAACCAAAAATAGGTTGAATATATTTTTCAGAACCTAGAAGTAGGTTACAATGCTATACTGACATATGGTGCATATCTTGCCTACATTTAGAAAGAAGACAACCTTTACGAAACATTACTATATCACATGCCAAATGTACATTTACGCTCTTTTTCCTAACGTCACAATCAAACTTTGAAATGTTTACACTGGTCCTCAGAGGAAAAATGCACGGCCAGACCGGGGTTCGAACCCGGAACCCTCCAACTCTAGACGGATGCTCTACCAATTGAGTTATCCGGTCGCCGACGATCGACCCAGTCCTGTTCCGCTACATTCCTCACTCCTTTAACAAATTCTTCAACCCCGAAGACACACGAGACCCTATACCACCTTCTGTAGGTATGTTTTGTTGGGCGCCAAATGTAACACTGGGCCTCACAAAAAAATACACAACTTTTCTTGTAAACAAATAAATTGTACCTTTGTGTTTTTAAGCTTTGAATCATGAATTTCAAGATGTTTATGCGAAATAAAACCATACACATATTTTTTGGCTAATGAGGCGCCGAAAGTGGGCCTTTATAATGTTGCCGGAGTTGGACATTAGTGTCCTGAAGAGCTAACATATTTGAATATGAACATCTAAGTTTGTTTAAGAGTATTGTAAAGGTTTTTTCAAGTGTTTTTTGTGGTTACATCATGATCTTGAGCCACAAGGAATCCAGGTCCAAGACAGAGACTTGTTTATATGATTTTTTTGTCTCAAAAGTTTCCTGGAATATCAATGTCAGGCAAATATAGCAGTACCCGTTCTATTGTGACACGGGATATAGTTTATGACAAAGGGAAAATACTGAATACCTGATGAATTAAGATAAGCAGAGATTTCCTGTCGTTCAGTTTTATACACAAAAGGTTAAAAAAAAAAAAAATGAGTTGCTACTCAATTATGACCTACGACCTTCCACCGCTCTGAATGTAAATGATTAACTTCGCCTTGGTTCTTTACGCGCATCTTCTTTAATTTTCAAGTGCATCAGCTCCATACAAGATGTGGAATCTTCTTTGCTGTCATGGCCACCAACTATTAAAAATCCCAAAATTTACAAATTTTACTTTCTGTATCAAGTATTTGAATATTATTCCATTGTAAATGTTTGAAAGTTGAAAGGAGATAACAGTAATGGCAACAGACAAATCGAAAAACATGTACGCCAAAGTTAGCATTCAAAGAACCATCTACCGAATGTCATAGATTGATGCTAAACGACAATAAATAAACACTGTATGTAAAACATATGTATTCCATATTTGCGAACTGACCGTCATCTTGGATAATTTTCTTCAGGTATTCCGCCATGAGTGTCTTGAGGGCTCTCTTGTAGGGTGGTCCCATCTTGTGAGGAAACACCACTGAGGTGTCCACGACCGTGTTGTGCAGCAGCTGTTGTAATAATGTTGTTCAGATATAACAGAAGTGTGAACGTATAATTTTCAAATGAAAATATTCAAACTCTCAGTTGCTTACGAGCAGGATCATAAACATTTTTTCAGCTATAATTTTATTTTATTTTCAAGATTTGATCGATTTATAAAAGTTTCTGACAAAGCTTACACATACAGAAAATTCTTAGGAAATTGACCACAGCTTATACATGCACTCATACCATTCTTCTTGTTCTAGTTAAGTCCAGCCCACACAGAGTCCTTAAACACCTATACAGTTACAGATCCAGACCTAGGAGCTACTTGGTTGAGCAGAGAGCTTACCCTAACAGCAGAGAAATCACTCTCAAGACTGTGTCCCATGACGATGGTTCGGTCGGAGAAGAGGCTGAGCAGTACAGCTTGCACATCCCTCAGCGTGGTAGTCACGTCTTTCAGGATCTCTTCTGTCAGTCCACTAAACCTGTATACAATGCACAAACATCCAGGTTTTATACTAGACAGTCAGCACTGAGCAGGACAATATTCTACAATGGTGGTAATCCAAGAAGGTCAAGTTCTCATGTTAAATACCGAGTTTGACCCGATAAAGAGCTTTAATCATCAAAATGCTGTTTAGACATACATATTCACAAAGATCTATATCGACCTACACATTCCTATTTTATCTACCTTAACACATTGATCCTATCAACCTATTAAACCCTGTTCTATCTACCCACAAATATATATTCAATTTGTAGTAATTGAATCATTAATTTGAATTGCTATAATTAGCATTCTAAAAATATTCTTTTTGTAACAACTTTGTTTTAATTGGACTTGAGGCAAATGTTTATGGCCGTGTAATACAAACATTTTACATCTTTCACAAATCTGGTTTTGACTGCTTTACAAAAGTTGTGCATCCTTTCAGGCCAATCAATATTGAAGTTTGATTAAGAAAGGAATCAACTGTATTTTAATTGATTGGTATGATGTTAAGATCAAATAATTTATGAACTGAAAATATATATTTCTCAAATTTCAAAACTCAATCTGTTATAAGAAAACATGAAATACCACCACAAATCTCTGTAAGGTTATCCCTTAAGTGCTATATAGGGCCGCATTAGTTTATCGCAATCGAAACCGGTTATAAGGACAGACCTACTGTATAAAACTAATGCTGCTTTCAGACAAACCTTGACAAAGCCTTTCAAGGCCTGCATAAATATTTGCAGGTCCACCGGGATTTATACCCGAAAAATGTTACATTTCAAAACAGACAAACTGGTTGAACTAGATACGAGAAAGGGGCCTAGGTCACTAAAATAATGAACAATGTCTACCTTGTGTTATAGTCCACGACAGCAGCATCTGGTTTGACAAGTGTTTCGTACACACAGTCATTTTCTGGGTCAGTCACAGTAACTCGCGCCAGCTCTATTCCAAACTTTGTGTACACCTTAAATAAAAGAAGAAAAATCTTCTAATCTAGGGAGAATAAATCAGATACCATTTTTGTTTTAAAGAATTAATTAACACACTTATCCGTCGTTAGATTAATTCATTCTGATAGAATTGTAAACCTGTAGAACAGAAAGAGCTCTCGGGATTATATGATTACAACTGTCAGGCCATTTCTGAAACATTCTTAAATGAAAACAGATTCAGTTTGAAAAGTATCCTACCATTTCACAGTCCATAGCAAACACCCCGTAGTCCCCATCACACGGTGGTGAGCATGGAAAAGTCTTCATGTACCCAGACATGGTCTCCCATTTGTTGGTTTCGTGGACATGGCCCTGTAACCAAAACACAACAAAATGTAGATAAATCTGGATACCATTCACACATGTTGTACTAGAGGTACAGGTAAATACAAGATGTGTGATCAGGACCTACTCTCATAATTCCTTATATTTACCTTGAAGAATTTTTTTTCATTAAGGAAGTGGATTGCCCTGTTTAGTTTGATTCCACAGTGGGCTTCACCGGAATTATAACAAAGCCACAAGCCTTTTCACACAGTTCATACAGCCCTATTGTTTAAAGACTGTACATTTTATATGCCATATATAATAATACATGCATAGTTTTCAGCTGGGCCTATATTACTTAACCAAGACTTCAAAATTCTAGGTTATGTTATGTACAATGTGATTGCCTTTTATTGTCAAACATTTTTGTATGATGAATAATTGCTATAAATCTTTACTTCTCTGCTCTTGTTTTATAAATTCTGTTTTTCTAAAGGAATGACAATTACGGTAGTTTAAGAAATTTTCCTGAGTTCCAACTTTGGTTTCGTTTGTTTTTGTTTTACGTCCTTTTAACAGCTTTGGTCATTTACGGATGTGCCAGGTTTTGGTGGTGGAGGAAAGCCGGAGTTCCCGTAGAAAAAACAACTGACGACTGCCCCACGTAGGCCTCAAACCCGCGACCCAATGGTGGAGGGCTAGTAGTAGCAGAATATCAGATGCCTTAACCACTTGGCTACTGAGGCCCTGAATTCCAAAATATGCTTTCCAACAAAAAAGTTCAGTTCAGGAATTCCTTACGTTATGGAACATATGTGAAACTGAGCACCCCCCCCCCC